AGGGCTTAGAGATCCTGGCTTGGACTCACCGTCATGTCCAAGCTGGACTTTGGGGAGGAAACGATCTGGACATCAATTCAGCCCGGAAGCAAGAACCCAAAGAATCTCAGGCGAAGCCAGCAGATCAGTAGGGTGAAATGTAGGGTGAATGTTGCCCACCCAGCAGGGTAACCAGAAGCTTTACTCATTTCAGGGTGTGTTCTTTGAGACCCATATACACAGACACAGAATATGATAGCTGTCTAGAGTCTAGCTATGGAGCAAACTCTGATCCGATTTTCGGGTGGCGGCCACCTTTCTTTAAACGGACCTGGAACCCATTTGACCGTTGTCTTGATAGGAAAAGGACCAGGTGAAATATGGAGGTTCTGGATGGTTCTGGTAGGTTACTTTCCTCTACAGACAGGTTGTTTTCCACTTCAAGATTAGTGAGTCCGAGTGTAGCTCTGCTCCTGTCTTGTTATTTTTTAATATTGTCTATACTTTTGGGGCTGGCTTCCCAGCGACGATCGTTTTTAGGGGGACCCTAGATTAAGGGGACACAAATAGATCTTCCAATCAGGGAAGTTGCTGGGTGCTTCGTTTGTCTCGCGCAATGACCGTGTTCTGGAGAACTTGTCTCGATTGATTCCCGAACTTGACCCCTGTTTTGGAGCCTTTCCACTTCGTCCCAATGTTGATGTGTTACTCTCAGAGTGCATTTCATGAAGTGGAACCAGGGCTTTTCACACCACAAAACAACCAAAACGACCGTCTGTTTGGGAACCAACCACGGACGTCACGCAGCGTTTCGCAGCAGCAAGCTTTCGCGGCGCGCAAACGCAGGAGATCGGTGAGAAGGTGCGGCGGTGGTGCGAGCGGGTGGAAGGGAGAGGAGGTGACCAGGCAACTGATGATGGAAGTGACGTCTACGCCGTACATACGCAGGATGGAAGAACATCGGGGTAGTTGGAATGAAGTGAAGCTGGTGACCTTGTGGAAGGTGCCGGACCCGGTAGTTATGGAGGGACTATGAGGGACTCGTGCCTGTGAAGCAGGTGTTCTAACCAAGTGCAACTCGAATCATCAGACCAACAGGTCTAAACAAGAACCCAAGATGTTTGAAAAGACCTTCTGGAAGGTGCTGGTCGAATCATCCGAAGCTTGCTTGGAGAGAAGTAAGTCTCAGGTGCATGGTTTCATGTTTCAGATATGTTGATGTTCGACCTTTACTTGGGCTGATTGAAGCCACTGACATCGTTTGGATTCGTGGCTTCCTTTCTCACCGCACTCAGGACCGAGGTTTCGGGAGTCAGGTGGGGTCAATCGCTTCTGGGCTCCGTCTCAGTGGTCGCACACCACCCCTCCTCCTCGCCATCTCAGGAGCCGAATCGAGGGAAGGACCAGCTGAAACGCCCAAGAAGAACCACCGAAACAGGAGAGAGATACCTGACAGGGGCACCCTCACCCGCCCTCTGCTGCGATAACTGACAGGTCCAGAAATACTATCACAGGTCCAGAATTTCTATCCATGCAGAAAGTTTGTTGACATTGCAAAACGAGCTGTGAGTAAAGTATAGTAAAGTTGCTGCAGTGGCGGTGCAAGGAGCCGTAGCTTTTTGCTGTCCCAGTAGATGCTCATGAACCCTCAAACTGCTACATGTTAATTCGGTAAAAAAAAACTAGTTGTGAAGTTCCAACACCCTCACGAACTCAGGGTCCGTTTCTTCTTAGTAGACCTAGACCGAGACTCCAACTGGGTCCCGAACAGGGTAGATCCCCGAACTGGGGAGAGACCACCTGGTGTTTCCCCGCAGTTCGTGGGAGCCGCCAATCCACACAACGTGTGGTCGATCGATCCGATGCGCGACCAGGGTGGAGAAACCAGCATGCTGCAGATCGTCTCGCAGTGCCACACCCAACTGTAACGACTCGGGTGGTGACGGTGGTTTCTCCGGAAACGGCAGAAATCGACCAGCGGAAGCCCTTCGAAGACCATTAACAAGAAAGGGTGACCCGGTGTTGTAGTAAAAAAGAAGAAAGAAACTCCTTGTTGAGACCATAATGATTGTTGTGAAAAACAATGAAGTCAATGGTGGTTAGAGATTTGGGGTGAGATTTGGGGTGAGATTTGGTCAAGACACGGCAACATAGAGCTTAAGGACACGAGGACTCTGAGAAGACTGAAAAACTCGTGATTCATTTTGATGCTACAGTTGGCTACCTTTGAAGTGCCAAAGGTGTTCCCTGTCCAAAAGGCAACCGGACACGAGTTAGGTGGTCCCATTGACTCATTTGTTCGTAAGTGGGACAACACCAGTGCCCCAGCTGCAAGCAGACCATAGTGTGCCTTTTTCTTTGCTCCCTGCGCCCTGGTGCTTTGCAGGTCCATTAATGGAAGGTTGCATTGACATGGCTCACAAACTTCTTCCTCCCACCCAGAAGCTGGCTCAAGTGGTACTGTATGGGTGAAATAGACCATCTATGTTTGTATATTCATACACTGTATATATATAGTATATATTGACTTGTTTAGCTCAGACCTCCAAGATGATTGGTATGTTACTGGACATTCGCAACCCCACAGTACCACAATTGCACTGGTTTTCATGCCATGCGGAACATGCACTTTCATGATGTCTTGCGATGATGTATTTGCTTTCCGTTGGAATCCGCAAAAGAATCGCAGTCACATGAAGAAATTGCTATCGATTCAGGCTGGTGTCTCACTGGGCAGCACCGGAGAGCTACTTCCACTCTTTGCGCCGCTTCGCCAGCGCGCCGCCGAGGCTTCATTTGGAGCTCGCCAGACCGGACAAAGCCTTCCAAGTGGCGCCACTGGGACAGACCTTTTTAAAAAGAGCAGAGCACCTGGAGGTGAACAAAGCTTCCACAAGCATGTCGTTCTTGTTGCTGCTGCTGCTGGTGTGTCTTCTTCTTCTTCTTCTTCTTCTTCCACCGTCGGCTTTTGGAAGGTATGGGTTTTGGAAGAGAATTACCAAGGTGTGTTTGCCATCCAACAAGTTGTACCTTTCGGAATTGGGGAGGGAAAGGCTGAAGTCACTTGAGTAGTAGAGGGGGTTGCTGAAGTGCTCTCAATTCATCGCTGAGAGTACCGAGTGTGGACCTAACTGGAGCTCTCATGGAGTCCTTCTGGGCGCACTACACGCGTTGCTGGGTGGTGGTTTGAGATATTTTTACTCCCAAGCTGGACTCAGGATGATTGACCGGCGCCAAAAACATGTCCAACACATCCCAAGGAGAAAACAAAAAAACGATTGACAAGATGGTCAACGGGGAGCTTCATATCACTTCCAGGTGTTCTCTTTCACCAATGTTACAGATCCTGACCCCAACTCATCGTTCGCTCCGATCTGTCGACACCTAAACCCCGCGTGCCGTGCCGGAGTTCTCGGCGAAAATGTCCGGGTTTTTCGAATCCCTCCCTGTGTTCCCTTCCTCCAGTTCCTTTCCCCAGAAAAGAACACACACATATGCCGCCTCCCGCATGCTGCATCCCATTTTGCTGGTGAAAACAACGCCCGGCACGGTCGGTCAGACCTCAAATCAGGGGCCCTGGGAAGACCTCGACGTTCCCTCAGTCGATCTGAGGCAAGAGGTGGCGTCCATGGACATCAGTCTTCACGAGACTGCGGTGGCGCAGGAGACCGTGTACGAGGCTGGCGGGGTGAGCTGACCTGGCTGAGTGGCACCGGTACACGAAGAACACGGTGGTCGTGGGCCACGACTCGTGGCGTTGGAGTCAGCAGGTCGCGGCGCTATTGGGTGTGAAACTGCACAGCTGGGCAGCTGGGTGCGGGGAGATGTTGGAAACAGCTGGGTGAAGGATTTGATGACAGAGTTGGTGGATGGGAATCAGGTCAGTATGAATTCAAACACGATCAATCGATTTTCCCGGCAAACGTGCGTGGGGTGAATTCAGGGGATTGGCTTTCGCTCCTTGTTCCATCCACAGCTGGAAGAAGCTTTATGTTGTTTCACTTATTACTACTATTACCAGGGGTTATATCCAAAGTTGGCCATGAAATGCCTGGATTGGAGGAGCAATCTGGGAAGTTCATTGTTTGTGTTTGGGCATGAACGTGTTCTGTTGGATTGGTGATACCACATACAGATCAATACACCGAACACTCATGTGGACTCTTAGATTAATTATCCATATGAAGAGGTGTTTCAAAGGGGGGGATTATGCAGTCTCAGAGTCTCAGGGTCTGCATTCCAAATTGTGCACAAAGGCTCCCCCGTTCGACATCAGTGTGGATTTACTGCATTGGTCTTGGACCGAGAACTTCTGGGATAGCACTAGTTTGCAACGGACGGTGCCCACGATGAATGCAAGCACACGCAAGTGCACGCAGCCAGGCTGCTAGGTACTGGGCACAGTGGCAGGAGTGGTTCTTGGGATCGCAGAATTGTTAGATACAGGTTCTATCTGATTCTATGTGCTGAAAAGTGGCAGGAGTGGTGAACCATCTGATAAACCGTATCCGTGTTTGCCGTATTTTTTGGGTCGGTCAGACCGAAGGTACTACACCCCTGCGGTCTGTTTCCTAAGACCACTGGATGGGTATGACGGGTTCATTGCTCCATGCATGGTCAATTCTCAGGTCCGATGTCCTGGACCTGCCGCTCTTCTCGGCTCAGGGGTCCACCGAGGAACGACTCGTGGGGACTCCACATCACATCCGGATGAGTGGATGGGTCCTACTTCTGGTCGAAAACAAACAGACAGCAGATCTGTAGGGTCAAGTTGCCATGCAGTTAGTTGACCCGCACTCACAGGGGAATTGGCAAAAGTTGGGCAAAACCGCCGCCCAGCAAACAAGAGTTGGCAGTTCATTCAGCCTGTGCCGCTGGTGCATGAACGCATGCCACGATGTGTTTTGTCAAGGATGGAAGGTGGTATATAAACATGTATAAACAGTATGGGGGAGGGCCCTTGGGGCACACAGACCCCAAAGATTTTTGATGAGCTAGGATAGGATTTTACACACAACGTCATGTGTGATGGCGAGAGACATGATGTCAGAAGTCCGGAAGCTGAAGCTTCTTGGCATTTCACTGGGGCAAAATCGAAGAAGCAACATACTTTGAGTATAGAGGGTAGCCTTGGAGGTCTGAAACACATGACTGTAGAAAGGTAGCCTTGCATTCGAAAAGGAGTCCAGGAGGGCGCACGGTCACCCGAAACCCATCATTCCAATCCGGAGGTACTTGGGCAGCGCGGGCCGGAAGATTCGGAGTTATTTCAGTGGGTTTGTTCAGCCTACATATGTGGTTGGAGGCCATCGCAAGTAGGTATATCTACGATTTGGACATTAAATCGGTTCACTTCCGCACCTCGCAGGGAACAAGGACAGCACAGGACATGATTTTGTATATAGATATAGATGGTACCCCCCCGGAACCTAGGTTTTCATATACTGTATTTGCAGTGTTTTCCAATGTTTTTGGAACGATTAGATGTTTGGAATTTGTTGGTTTTGTTGGTCTGGGGGGGGTCCATATATATATATATAAGAACCTATATGCATACACACAGTGTTCTCGGAATCACGAAAGTAAACTGTCCAGTACTTAGAGAATTCCATAACATGTTTGAATATTGTAAGTTTTTCTCATAAGTAAGAAGTAAGAGTGCACAGCACTCTTGTAGGGAGTCTTGCTTTGTGTACTTAGGGAGTTTCTGAACATATTAACACATTAGTTGGTTTGCGTTGTTTAATAAGTAAACAGTAAGAAGTAAGATTGCACAGAGGTCTCCTAGAGAATTTTACTTTTACTTCTGAGTGCGTTTTTGTATCACGCGTTTATTTAGTATTCCGTTTGTATGGACAGATAGCCCTTATACTCTTCTTGTTCCCAAAATCTTTTAACCTACCCTTCCTCCCAAGTCTTTGATCAAAGTGTTTGATCGCAAAGACATTGAACCCTGCATGCAAAAGTCTTTGATCACAGTGTTTGATCCCTTCTTCATCCCAAATACTTAAAGCCCTTCATCCCAAGTCTTTGAACAAGAGCTTTGGAACCCTTCATCCCAAGTCTTTGATCAAAGTTTTTGACCCCTTCTTCATCTCAAAGACTTTGAACCCTTCATGCAAGTCTTTGAACCATGTTTTTGAAGTTTCTTCATTCCAAAAAATATCCGTTCATCCCAAGTCTTTAAACACAGTTCTTCAACCCTTCATCCCAACCACTTTGAAACCCCTCATCCCAAATCTTTTAACAGAGCTTTGGAAGCCTACTAAACCCTTCATCCCAAGTCTTTGAATAAAGGTGTTTTAACCCTGCATCCAACGACTTTGAACCCTTGATTCCAAGTCTCTAAACAAAGCTTTGGAACCCTTCTCGACCGTTCATCCCAAAGACGTTGAACTCTTCATCTCAACGATGTTGAACCCTTCATCCAAAGTCTTTGAACAAAGTGTTTGAATCCGTCCTCCTGCCAAAGTCTTGGGGCCCTTCATCCCAAAAACTTTGAACCCTTCATCCCAATGACTTTGAATGCTTTGTCCCAAGTCTTTTCAACAAAGCTTTTGAAGCCTTTTGCATCTCAAAGTCTTCGAACCCTTTTGCACCCTTCATGCCAAACAAAGTTTGTGAGTGAACCCTTCATCCCAAAGACTTTGTTTGAATCCTGCATTCATCCCAAGTCTTTGAACAACGTTGTTGAACCCGTCTTCATGCCAGTGTCCTTTCATCCCAAATAAAATAGATCCTTATCCAGCTGGTGTTCAGATTTGTTCGAGCAATCCATCAGTTTCTCCAAATGCTGCGAGAAGTTATTTTGGCGTTCATGGTTTGATGTCTCCGCACCCTGAAAGATACGTGTGTTGACCTCAGTTCGTCGATTCAGATGAACTCTTCCCATACATTCCTCTGAAAGATACACTGGATATGAAGGGGGTGAACATCTTTGTGAACATGTGCGTTTCTTTTTTCTGGAAGTGACTTCATCGTCGCTGTGACTGTGGTCTTTCTTGGGGTTCCCTACAGCAACCTCTTGGAGAGGTGGGAAAACTCACCCTAGCTTTTGACATGGACTCGCCCAAAAGAGTTCATACATAGTTCATGTCATTGGGCGATTCACCGCTGATTCACCGCTCATGTCATTGAGAATTGGACGTGCACCTTTTACGTTGTTTGCAGCGCTGGACCAGCAATGTGCCTGAAAAAAGGTCTCTCCCAAATCCCTCCCCCATCCTCATCCCTCCAATCCGAAACTCCATCCCCTTTTATGACCCACCTCCAGAAAAGAGTCTTTCTGCCACTCCACTGCGACCTCTCCGCCGGCCACGAGGACCTCGCCACGCGGTCCGAAGACCTCGCCGCCGTGGTGGATGAGGAGGACCTGGAGCCCTCAAGCGCCATGGCGGCGGCGCTGGCCGCCATGGCCAGCGCCGTGCAGACGCTGCAGAACACACCCGAGCCGGTCATGGAGAGTGGAGGTGCAGGGTGGGTTGGTGGGGGTTGCACGTGTTTGGAAGATTTGTGAAGATGAGTTCTTGTTCTTCGTGCTTATTCTGGGAATGCTTCATCTAGGACTGCCTCCTCACAAAGACACCCGCAGAGGCTTCACCCGCAGCGCATCACCTGCCAAAAGGCCAAGTGGTGGACGAGGATGACGATGACACGGTCGCCGCAGAGGTCCCGCCAGAGCCATGTGAGGTGGAGGTCGACTTGGAGGTCGACTTGGAGGAAGAGACCTTCAGGCCGATTAGATGGGCTTTCAGTGGATCACCGGCAGGGCACCCTTTTTGGGGGGCAGTGGTTTAAGAGGAAGAGGTGCCTTAAGAGGTGCTTTAGGTGTACTGGCTTTTTTGGGGGGGAGTGGTTTTGCCAATTTGTCCCCATGTTTCCAGACGAGCAGATGGACCAACGTTTCATTAGCCGTTTTTTTTTTCAGGGACACGGTTCTAGGTAGTCTCAGAGTCCGTTGGAGTGCTCGTTGCAATTTGTTGTGAGCAAGTCACGCACGGATTCATGCCAGATTCCCAAGTTGCAGGGCTGGAATAGAGCAACCCCAGTCATGTGTTGTGTTCTTTTTTGAAGATACCAGGAGAGTGATTTGCTGAAATGAAGTTTCTTTGTCAAGCAAATACATTTGGACAGCCTGGACTGGACAGCCTGTGCAGGAGAAGACTGTAGAACTGTGCCTTAAGAGGTGCTTTAGGGACATTCTGTTATACAAATGTCCTGCCACTCTCTTCCTACCTGATGTACCCAATTAAATTACTTCTTGTTTTCACAGTGTTTCCCCACCTTCCACCATCTTCCACCAAACCCCCCAACCACCATCCCAACCGTTGAGGCCCACACCGCCCTCCACACCCGCGCCTTCCGCGCCTTCGCCGGTGCCGCAGCTGCTCGAGGGCCTGCGAGCGGCCAATCGGATGAAGTCCCAAGAGGTGCAGAGTGCCTTGATGTGCAGAGCCGGAAGAGGGAGGGAGTGGAGCACGAGCATGGAGCGGAGCGGAGCGCCAGCGAACATGTGCACCCAGATCAGCTTCTGTGCATTCCGTTGGGCGCACATGAGGCGTTTTGGGGGGGGGGGGTTGCACACCCGAGACGTTTATTGCCAACATTGAGTCTTCCTGCGTATGAAGGGGTGAATTTTGGTCAACCTGCCACGGTGTTTGGTTCATGAGTAGAATCACTAAGGTTGTGTTGGGAGGAGGACACAGGACACTTTGGAGCTGAAAGGCCACGGATTGGAGCTGACAAACCTGACACCGAGGTTGTTGACACTAGCCTCGTGTGTCGAGACACTGTCGCACTGTCCAACAATACATGACTCAACTTTCAAGAGAACGAACACTCAATCCTTCAGGCAATTGGTTGTTTGACGTCACACGGATTCGCGCGGTGAAGGGTTCAGATTGCGTGGATCAGTTTGGAAGTATATGACAGTTGCGGGCGGTTCGCAGAAAAGTGAGCCAGTTGGTTGCAAAGAATACCTTGGTGGAGACCATGTAGTCAGCCCTTCGAAAGGGCCCGGGTGGGTTCAATTGCGTGTGGCGAACTTGCGATTGCCCCGCTGTCCCGGCGACTTGCGATGCTCACAATACCCGAAAGTGCGATGTTTGTAGGGAGGATCTAGGGGCGAACGCATTCCTTTTGACATGCAGCACGATGCACCGTGTGTGCAGCGCCATGCACACAGCCATGGCGCGTGAACTGGTCATAAGCTCTTGTGGCACCGCGCCTATTGCACCGCCAAGCCCACGAACAAATCCCGGATTCGAGACCTTTGGTCGCTGCGCTTGCCACTCCATGTTGAGAAGTTGGTCGTCCATGATGGTGGAACCCAGCCATACCAAGAATGGCGGCAGGGGTGTTGCGCTTGAGCACCACCACCATCACGCTTCGGGAGCAAGCTGGGTTTTGACTGGTGGTTACAGTAACGGTTACGTAACTAAAGTCTATTAAAGTGCACATGGTAATAAAGTACACATAGGCTAGGTGGGCTCTTTTTCTGGGCTATACTGGGCTAATTGAGTTCTGACTGGTGGGCTCTTTTTCTGGGCTCACCGTGGTGTTCCTTCGTTTCCCCGGTGTGGCCGTTGCCATGGCCGATGCCATCACCGGGGTGGCCGAAGGATCTGTTGAGGATCCACCTTACCCAGACGCTCCATGTGACTGGCATAGGACTGCCGAGAAACGGCCAGGGGTGGTGCCAGGGAGGGTCGGCAGTCCTATGGAAGTCCCATGGCCGTCGTGTCTGGGTACACGTTTTCTTTGTCGGAACACAAGGCTCCGTGCGTGCGAAAGCGACCCCACTGCTCAGCAAGGTGAAAACTTGACCTTGGAAGAGTTGGAAGACCAGCTACTGCTGCAGAAGGTCTTGGTGAAGCAGTTGAAGGCGGATTACGAACAACGTGCCACGGATGAAGTTAAAGAAAAAACAAATCAGAGCTGTGGATAAACTATATATTGAGATTCATCCGTACTAGGTGTTATCGCCAAGGTGGGACAACAGGAACCATTCCAAACTTCCAAACCCACCTTGTCACGTCCTTCCTTGAAAATCCATTCGATCTGAAATGGAGTGTTTTAGTGCTCCTACCAGGACCCACAGGGAGTGGTTCATGGACACCCCGAATCACATCTAAGGGGGCTATCAATAGAATCCCCTGGTCCGGGTGTCCTGGTATAGCCCTATGATCATCCAGTTTCAGCTGTGTTCCGAACAGCTTCCGAACCGACTCCCCTCCCCGTGGGAGCAAACCGCGGGAGTGCTCTGCGAGCGAGCGAAATTGCGCAGCGTCGCGGTGTGAGGCCTGGAGCGCAGCGAGGCGCTGGCGGCTGAGCTGCGGGACTTGCAGGGCTCTAAGCCGCAGGACTTGCAGGTCAAGGCAGGTCCCGGACCCCAGACCGGACGGCTTTCCGGTCCGAGACCCAACGGGTCCGGGGGCGGAGATGAACACGGAGTGTGTAGTTTGTGTTTGATTTTATATATATTGTCTTGAGCTCCTGGTTGAGTGGGGCGGATTTCGGATAAAACATGATAAAACACAAAATGACCTGCAGGCGTTTGTATGGCTTCAGCTCGTGTGGGCTGGGCGGGTTGGGTTGGAGGTTGAACAAGCAGGGTGCAGGGCAGGGTGGTGAAATTGGAAAGCGTAGAAAGACATGGGAGGTTCGAGCTGTGTGGTGTTTTTTGTGCAGAAAAGGGGATCCAGAATGAGGCATTGTGTCACATGGGGCTGATGATCATGTTTCCTGGGTCAGTGGTTTGAGAACGTGGGACTAGGTTGGAGGTGTTCTCAAGATTGTTCACTAGGTTGATCAGTGATTAAGGTTGGAAGATAAATACAACTTGTCACGCCTAGTTCGTCAACATTCCTTGAACATCCTTCAACTATGTGGCAAAAAAAGTTTCCTTTGGCAGAGGGGGGATACTGGCATGTGTTTTTCCAGTATGGGTGATGCGATTTTGGGTGCTTCATCAACATAAGGCAATTGGGTATGAATTGGCCCTGACATACTGCACTCCCTTTCCTGACTGCACTCCATTACCAGTGGGTGGAGGACGAAGACCTCCCAGTGACAATCCAACTCCCATTCACACCCAAAGTCGGATGATCCTGGGATGCATGGTGTTTCGGGGGTTCATCATTTTCCTTGGCCCATGAATTTAGAGATCAGTCTTCATCTTTGTCCCCAGAGGATGGTTTGGTTGGTTCTTGGGATATATTTCTAGTAGATCTAATAGCTCGAGGTGTCCCAATAAACCAGAAACAGTTGGTAAAAGAGGATCACTAAGTTTTTTGAGAAATGGCCTGCACCTTAACCATCATGATCCACTGGGCCCAGATTAGTGGAATATGCATGAATATGCAATATACAAACTGCAATATGTGTAAATTGTATTAATGGAATATATAGTACAGTACATATAATATAGTAATGGTATTATATTTATTTATACTGTAACATATAATACTATGTGATATACACATAAACACAATATCTAATAGGCAACAGTAGCAACAGTACTAGCTTCCCAGTTTCACCCCGCAAGTCTCCGAATCGCCGTTGCGCCCTTGCCCCTTCAGGTGGTCCGCGCCCGCGATGAGACGGAGAAGTTGTCCAAAGAAGGTGGTCTTAGCGGGTTGCTGCCGGGTTTGGAACCAGAACAGGCTGAAGAATCCCCCATCAATGTCAATCAGGTGATGCAAAGTCATATAGGGCGGTTCCCCCACTTCGGTGGAAAGTAGTTGGATCTTGCAAGTATAATTATGCAAGATAATAAGATATATGCCTTTTCATCCAATAAACACTGGGTGTTGGAACTGGACATGTTGCATACACTTGATTCATATGGTCCATGGATGTCCATTTTCTAGTTAGACTTACCACGCTTCCGATCTCCTCATTCCTCGCGGTCTGGTCCTTAAAAACGGAGCTCCGCGCACAGCGCGACCCCCAAGGCTCCGGAGTGTGAGGCTCTGCAGAGCTCGGCAGAGCTCAAGGTTTTGTCAGTCCCTACAGATCCAAGTACCTTTTCAGAAGGTATGACTGGACCCTCTAAACCAACCCCAGTCCCACCTTCTCACAAGGTACTTGGAGCCCTAGGGAGTGAGTCATTGCCATATCTTGGAACAAGATGGAACCAAGGCTATCCGATCATTCAGTACCCGAACAAGATGCATGACCTTCGACAAACCAGGACCTTCGACCAACAACTGGCAGTCTCGAAGTGCTGGATCTCAAGAGACTGGGACTCCTGTTTTCTATTCCTCACACTGGGATCTCAAGTTTGGGTCACTTTGAAGGTCCCTGTTGATTAATTAGGTGCAACGCTAGCCACAGGTGTTGACTAATTTGGGTTGTGGTTTGCAATCAGGGGACGAATTTGGGAGCATTCCCTTCCAATGAAACGATGAAGCCCTTGTTTGTTCTTGCCTGCATGGCATTTGGGGAGAAGCAATTTGAGAAACGCCCCAAGAGTAGGGAATGGTGATTTTCCTTTGGTCGCAGAAGCAATTCGATTCACTTTTTGGAGACGCCAAGATGATGATTCCATGGGCATGATGTCACTGACGTCACCAATTTTCTGCGAAAACGAAAGAAAGGATCCTCACTGTGATACTCTGACCGTGACCCTCGATCGGGCACGGCAAGGTCTAGTTTGACATGCCCAAGTTCAACCACTTAAACCTTTGGAATTGATTTCCCAGCTACAAACCAACACGAGTTCAGGTACAGGCAGTCACCAGGCTGGTTCGGGAGTCGGGAGTTGGTCATAAGGTCGAGTCTGACCGTTTGGTACCCGAAGCTCAAGTTCGGACCCGACGACCGCACCTACAGTGTCAAACACATCACCTGCTTTTCGGTTCGGTAAGGGATCCGAACTTCGGGCACCGAACTGGACGTCTACGCTGCCGCCAGGCAACCGAGCGGCCATGTGGGTGGAGGATCGTTTGGCGCGTGCCTGGCGGTTGTTCCAAAGCAGAACTCCCAGTGACTTGGGCCCACACGTCGCCGTGGATGGTTTTTTTTGTGGCGCTGGTTCTAAGGCGGCGAAGATGTTGCATGAGAAAAGACGCACTGTTTAGAAAGGTGAGGCGAAGCTATATGTACTTGTTCATACCTGCTACCCTGGATAGATACCAATTCCAGTCCAGGATGCTAAAAGATAGCTTTTTGCAAGTTCTCGCAACATTTACGTCCAGCTTGTGAATTCACGTCCTTTTGAAATCCTGAACGTTTTTTCACGTCCAAAGCCCGAACACTATAATAGTTGAAAAGACCAAGTTCAGCGATTACGGTAAAACACGTCCCGGACAACAATTCTCCTCCTTGCATACCAAAAGACAACAATTAGCGACATGGACAACAAAAGGTGGTTATATATAAGGTTTAGCAGGTATGCATCTATGTATACCCCCTGTCGCCTGTGGTTGCGTACCTCGTCGTGCACAATGTCCTTGCGCAGCTCAGCTGCAGCCAGGCCAGCGCCTGGCGCGAGACTTGGCCAAAAAGAGCCACGCAGAGTTGGAAGCCTTGCGGCGCTCGCGAGGACATGTCGAGGAGGATGTAGCGCTGGAGGTGCGCAGCCGGAGTCTCGGTCACTGGGTGGAGATGTCTCAGGTTCCAGTGGAGTTGGTGAAGGTGTGGATCTCAGTCAGGTGTATATATATATATATATACCTTCTGTTGACAACTCTTTGGAGAGAATCAGTGTCAAAGACACGGGCGACACCCAGAAAGAGATGGGTGAAGATCCACTGGTAGACTCTGTAGTGGCTATAGTCGATAATATTTACTTTTAAAAAACTTTGCTTTGGTCATTTCATTTGTTTGGAAACCCCTGCTGCCCTATGTAGAAAACCTCAAGAATGTTCAATATTTGGGCAGGTGTGGGTCCCCCCCAAAGTGTGAAGGATCATCAAATACATCAAAATACATCTTTGTGACAGTGACATTTTTGTGACCCAAAATCATGTCGCACTGCCTTCGCTCCTTTTGGATGTCCACCTTCGGCGCCCCGGCTTTCACGGTCTGGTGCCTTCGCTCCGTGGCTGTCGACTGCGATGCTGCGCCAGGTCTTGCAGAGCCAACGGCGAAGAATTGACGTGATGAAGCAAGACGCGACGGCACAGGACGAGAAGCTCTTGTCCTTAGGCCGGCGAGGGCGATGGAATTCGTCGGATCGGCTTTCGGTGGTCGGTTCGTCTTGTTCCTATAGCAGCCTCGATCTTGGTGTTCCTTGCCCTTAGCGATGCCAGTAAAGCCTACCTCCTTGGTGTTCCTTAGGGCCTTGGTGTTCCTTGTCCTTCGGGCCTGCGCTCCTATAGCAGTAAAGCCAGGAGCTACGTTCGTAGCGTCCGATCGCTCCGTTCGTAGCGATGCCAGGAGCCGAACGTAGCGTCCTTATGTCAGGTGACGGATCACCAGGGTGAAGTGTAGGTGCTTGTCTGACCATTTGTGCTTGTTATTCTTCCGTCAAGTCTCGCGGACAGCTGAGCATGAGGAATGTGCAGGTTCTATGGAATATGGCTCAATCTAAAGGACGCACCTGCGCCGTGACCAGCACACAAGCCCATTCTCCAAGTGACCAGCACAAGATCCCGGCAGCTCTTGCTCTTCAAATCAGGCCCCCTAAGCCTGGTTCTAAGCCCCATCAAATGATCCATCCCAGACACTCCATGTATTGTAGACTCTTGATTTCACAAGCAATATAAAACCTCCGTATGATGAGGTTTTACCATCCATACTACATTCTGGGATATCAATGCACCTTTTCACCTGATCAAAATTCCACCTGATCGGTCTGGCTGTAGGGCATCTTGGATCATCCACTTGGTGAACCAAGATAACCAAGAACCAAACCAGACCCACCACGAACATGCTTTTTTTCTCAGTCTGAAAACCAACACCCCAAGATGAATTGGTCTACAGATGGGGGTCCATAAATCTAAACCACATAGTCAACCCCCAAACCTTGTGCCATTTGTATGGTGCCACATAGTAAACCACCATGGAGGAACGTGCCAGCTGCTTGTTCCATCTAATCCACCAGCCACTCCACAGCCACAGCCGTACCGCTACGCGTTGAGGCTCCGATCTTCGCAGCGTTTTGGACTTCATGGTGCGCGTGAACCTGGACGCCCGCGGCGGTCCAAATGGACCCCTGGGGGAGCTGCCGGAGCTGCAGAACTTGAACTTCAGTGAGGTGGGAAAGGAATACCTTCATGAAGCTTGGTTCAGAAGGTGTCAGTATTACTCAGCTTGGTTTCTATATAGGTATCTTAGAATGGCTTCATGAGTGGTTTGATTCTTTTCATGTCATGCGATTCGTCATGGATTGGTCGGATTTGTTTCCCGCGGTTTTGCAACTGTTTCAGGAAGGCTTTGAAGATCTTTCAAGTTTCTATATGTTCCCCCTGCTTCCACAAATGTTTCGGAGGATGTTCGATGTTATTTTTTGCTCGCCGTGATTCCTCACCCACGCTAGCTGGATGTTGACCCGACGTCGGATGTGTCTTGCTCGGTTCTTCTCCCTCTCTTCCGTCTTCTCAGGAAGTCATGACCAAGTATGCAGTGCACCTTGGATCACTGAACGTCGACCGCCATCCGCTCCGGAGACGGGACGGAAGAGACGGAGTGTTAGCGAGATTCCCGACCAGTCTGGCTCAAGAGACCACGGGTTTTCTATGGTTTTCTGTTGGGTCGGACGCTCCCGTTTCATGGGTGTAGATGGTGTGTCCCATGACCTGTAATTATCACTATTTCCGAGAATGTCCTTGACTTCTAACCATGATGATCCACTGGGCCCCCCAAAAATTGGATATACCCAAGGGTGTAGGCTCTAGTATAGAGGATGAAATAGGATGAACTATACATGTTTGCTCCAGGCGGCCAGGCTTACTATAAATACAAACATGCTACTCAGAAGTATCACTATCTAGGCTTATCTCCAACCGTCCATTGAGTACACTGTATACCCTATCCTATTATGACTCCATCAAATCCCTCTATGTCATCAGGACACTTTCTTTGTTTGCTCCTCTTTTGCTAGTAATTGCGTTGGTGTTCTTCATGACATATATACTCACGCGTCCAACAGTGGACTTTGCTTGCGGCCAAGTAAGTCAACATGACCAGGAGATTCTTGTCGAATCACTTTTTGGGAAGCTTCAGCTGCACAGCAGAATAAGGAAATGAGGTTGAAAGGAAATGAGGTTGATGGATTGACCTTGGTTCTTCCAAGACCAACAAGAAGCTTCACCTGGCATGGCAATTGCCATGCCAGTCTCACTTCTCTCCAGTCTCACAATGGTCAGCTTCTTCGGCACCCCGGAGGCTCACCAGTTTGACAGTTCGCTGGCTCTCCACCGGAGACCAGGTCAGGTGGACTTCGGCATCGGATTTGTTGATCGTTTGAAGAGCCAGCTGGGAACATCTCCATTGATCCAGGCAAAGCATTGCATAGCATTGATCCAGGAGGAAACCAACACACTCTGCATTCCTTCCAGGATCGAGTCAGCCAGTCAGGGTCGAGTCACCAGTCTTCTGCGTTAACTCCGTCTGCACCAGAGGTATCTGGAGAACTCCGGTTCTCCCTCGCAGCTCCGCCGTGCGGCGCAGCTGGCCACCGCGCCGTCGCTGGCCTCCGCGGCGCAGCAGATGCAGCGGAGGCCGCAGCTGCCCTTGCCCAGTCACGAGCGGGCGACTGACGCTGGGGCCGCCGACGAGTGGACTCGGACTCCATAGATAGTATATGGAGGCCCACATAGACTGAGCCTAGTATATGGATGGACTCCATATAGGGACTGGAAGTGGGACTGGAATAGTATATGCCTACTTACATGGACTTCCCGAACATTCAACCACCCCAAGGCATGGTAAAGGTGCCGTACACAGAGCGTATGGGCGATGTTGATCTCATTTTCTGGTGAGACGGTGTGAGACGGGAACACTTCGATTCTCGAAGGTGGGGAGAGGAGTCCATAGAGAGATGGTCCCTCCATCCCAGAAGGGATCTGTTTCAAGGAGTATTTGATGATGTGTTTTTTGTTTGTTTTAGACAGCGTTTTGGGTCTAGGATGATATTGACCAGAGATCAAGTCGCCATCTAATATTCCTGTTTGGTCAGAGAATCACTGGTTTTGGCACGCTAAAAAAGGGCACCCCCAACATGGTTCAGTGGTGGTGCCCCGTTTGATTTGTTGGTCACGGTTTTGGGGAAGACCAAAAGAGCACCAGCACAGGAGTGCTATTTTCTGGGATCTAGCTAGGTCCCCCCAAGTAGCTGTAAAGAAAATACGTTGAAGGACGTTTCGCTTCCACACTTAACCCATCCTTCCTACCCCAGCCCTCAAGGACTCCATTAACAGCAATTCACACATTCGTTCCTACTCACGAAGTCATCATTCGTTCCTCATGTGTGTACCCAGCATCCTCCGAGACCTGTCAGCGGCCCTGATACCTCACCCTTTAGAGGTGACTGGGAGGGCGTGTCTCCGGTAGTTCGGGAGCTCCGACGGGGAGAGCGCATCGCCATCGCCGGTAGTTCATCTCAGATGGATGTTGATGGGTCATGAAGATCTTTTCATGGAACCCTGTGAGGAAGTTCTTCATGGAACTTGTCTATAAAGGAAGTCCATGTCTTTAAACGGTTCCAATTCCAAGCATCCTGTCAATCACTATAGTATAACATGTTAACGTTGTTAATCAGTAGTGTTGATGTTCTGTTTATTTAACGCCCGAACGGTGATCCTTTGTATATACAGGAAACCGATGCCTTCCAATTGTCCTACAAGCAGGTGGGTGTGTATTTGAAGAGGGAAGTCACCAGCCCATGGGTTTGATCCATATTCCATTTTTCCAGGGGTTTGTGGGGGCTCTCTATTGAATTCACACTCAGGTGTGTCAAGTGGTCACAGACAGTCACAGATGTGCTTTGTGACCGCACCACTGAGGAGGCCTTTGGAGAGGAGAGGCAGCTACTGCGCTCGCGGCTCATGACGGAGACTGGCCAGGGTGGGATTGTTTGCAGGTTCCCCCGAGGGTGACCAACCAAAAAGTTTAAAGTTTCAGTCCTTGATGCCATCTTAAGCATGCAGAGGAGTTGTCAAACATTTCGGAAGTCAGAATCTTCAGTGGATTTCATGAGATCACCAAACAACCAAAGATCCAAGTAGCCCAGCTGTTGATGATCAGGTTGTCCATTTTGCTGGGGTAAGCAAGACACTGCAACAGTGGGTAGACACCCATCCATCACCACTCCCGGAGAAGTGGATGGTTGCGGGCAAACTCAAAGAATGCTTCATTCGTTCCATTTTTGTCCACAGAAAGTAGAGTTGCCTTTCCAGAAACTCACCAATTAGACACCTCTGGAAGACTTGGAAAAACTTCATGTTTCGAAAGAGACTGCTCCAGAAGCAGGGTGGTTCTTGTTAAAGGAGATTCTTCAACCTCCCCAGGAGATTCTTCAACTTCCCCAGTTCCATAATTGATCCATCCCTTGGACTGAGGAGATGCAGCAGGTTGCAGAGGTTCTGGCGCGTCCAGAGCCCAAGAAATCTGCAGGTGAGACGCGGGGTGTGGACGATGAACACAGAGACGAAGACATCACTATGGTTTGGTGGAACAGTTGGGTGTGTTGAACACGAATAGGATGAACGATGCTGCTAGAATGGTCAACATACAGGCTCCAGGTGGTAAATATACCGGACATAACATGGGAGTTCACTGCAGAATCACGGAATCGCTTTAGGAATGAATCGCTTTCCCTGAACTAGGGCAGCCTGGGTGAACTATAGGTGGTAGGATTCTGAGATGTTTTATGCCTGATGCTTTCCAATTAATCCTGTGGAGGGGTTACAGTACTCCGGATCCTTCTGCACGGGAGAGTATTGCTGAAATTGGACACAAATAAGCTGGTCTGGTCATCCATTCCATTCAAGAGCATATTCAATTCATCTTCGAAGACTTCACATTGATCCTTCAAGGTCTTTGCTCAGAGCTACATGTTTGCAAAACTGACCCCAAGGCACCTATGGATTCACATGCCTGCTGAGAAGTTGGAGACACTTTGACCAACCTGATAAGATATGTGGATCATTGTGGATGTGTAGGATTTCACGCGATTTCACGCTCCGTTTCTCCTTCTTCTGCGGCCGTGGGAACCGCTTCAGCGGAACCGGTGCCTCCGCAGCCGGAACCGCGCCGCCAGGGCCCGAGGAACTTCTGCGGGCGGCGGCCTGGGGTGAGTTGCGTGGACCGGTGACAGAGAGGAACCGGCTGCGGTGCAAGAAGAGTGGGACAACTGAGGAAAGTAAAACATAGTAAAACACCATGTGAGCTGCGTGGGTTCCGAAGTAAACAAGCAATCAGATTACGTTTCCTGTGGAAGCTGGCTTCATTTGGTCACTGGTCCGATGTTTTTTGTTGGTATGAAGATGTGTATGAAGTATATAGCTCAGGAGATCATGTGGTTCTCCTTTTTGTTGTTTTGGACATCACTGTGAAAGAGAGATGAGCCAAGCTTCAAGAACCCTTTGGGACGAACCCATCAAGGTGAAGACAAAACCACAGGGTGAAGCTACTTGGAAGTCAGCCGTCAACAACTAGTTTACTATAGGTCCACACCAGGACACAAGCTTGAAACATCTTGAAACCACGCGTGCTTTCTCCCCAAATCCGCCGAAACCCGCGTGTGTTCATGCTCGGGATCCCGCTGCTGGGGGCGAATCAAGGAGAGTGACAGGTGTGGATGTACTGGAATGGCATGGCTCCCAGAAACTCTAGAATTTCGTTGGTTTGACGACATGTGTTTCTTCCTGCGTTTGACAAAAAACACATATTGAAAACCTTCCTGAGCAGAAGGAAAAGTCCCACCGGTCCACGGATCTTAAGGACTTTACTTGAAAAGGAAAGTCGATCACCCAAAGTGCCGTGTGTGGCGAAAGTTCAGAACACATCGTGACTTGCCGGAATTCACCGTGAGTGGCGAAACGAGCACGCGCTCGGGGAGCGACGCGGGGAGGTTGCGCGTTCACCGAGGCACCTTGAAGGAGCTGCTCTCCGTGCCAATGGAAGCGACGGAGGCATTTGGGTTAGTTGGGTGATGGTGTGACATGATGACATTTGATCTTGCGAATCTGGTTAGATTTGTACAGAGAATGCAATGACACACCCAGTAGCCGGGAAGAATAGAAGATCACCCACCTAAACCTGAGTAGCCGGATGTACATGTCTACGTCAGCAGGTCATGTTTAACGACCCGGATACACTACAAATACCAAGTTTCAGTGGTTCAATCAAGACTGTTTAGTTCGATCAAGCTTGCCACTCATCCGCTTCTTTCGGGGCTTACCAGGCTTACCATCCATCCCCAATCCGAAGCGGAGTGATATTGGTTGAGCCTTCATCGGTAATGTGAGAGAACGTGGCAAACATTTCTGGAGGAGTACATCGTGGTGGGGATCCATGTGTGCAGCTCATCGGCCGTCCATCAGCTTCCGTGGTTCAACACCCTCACACCCCACATTGTTGGTCTAGATCTCCAAAAGGGGCGCACCACAGGCCTTTGCGGGCCTTTAGCACCAGGTTTTGAGGGTCCCCTAAAGCACCTACATGATAAAGCCTGATGCAGAGTGTTCTCCGATCCCAGAGCCACTCCAGGAGCTTTGCGGCTGGACGGTTTGGCATTCAGCTGCGGCCCATGGCCAGGACAAGGCGAAACGCGATGCGCGATGCGACCGCGGATGGGATCCGCCGACTGGATGGGGTCCGTTCGAATCCCTTCACCTGCTAGGCCCAAAGAAAAAGGACCAAACCGCAAGCCCTCAGCCGCTGGGAAAAAGGATGGGAAGGATGCTGGAAGGATGCTGGTCCGGCTTTCAGACATTCTTCGGAAGGCATGTTTCAGCCGTAGATTCACTGGGCCGTGTCCAAGCCCACTGGGCCAAGTCAAGCTTTCACTTCTTCACCTCTTTTCGACCTGTCGGTTGGTCATTCTCCCTCGCTGTCAGGTCATCCGCTTCCTCCAAGAGCATGCCACTGAGGGCCTGGACGCCTTGTGTGACTGTGGTCTGCCACCCTTGGGCATCACTTGCTTGCGCGGTCACTTGGGCACTGCGAAGCGGGGCGGCCCAGGTCGCGGGTCGGGTGTTGCGGATCGCCTGAAGAGGTGTCGTGTGTCATGAGAATCGTGATTCCAAAAGCACTGGATGGTTGGAGTGGTTATTTACACCCGGGAGAATGAACATGGACCCTGAAAATGGATCGTTCGAAGACGACTTTTCCTCTACCAACCGACGTGGTGTTTCAGGGTCCATGTGAGTCGATTGCAGGATGTATTTATTGGTTGGTGTAGTAGTCTGTGTAGAGTGTGATAGTCCATAGTATTGTGGCAAGTCTTGCACCTTTGGGATAGTCAGATGCACCCTATGACCGCCGGTGTGTGTGGACCACCTGAGAGTGAGAGTCTCGGCTGAGCGATTCAGTTCATGGCAATGGGTTGGTGAGATTGGCCGTGTTAGCAGACAGGAGAAAGAGAACTGCATTACAAGAAGACCTTTCTCCTCCACTTTTCAGAGGTTGTCCACTTGTCCACTTGCTATTTCTGTTGGATAGAGAGCACAATATACAGTAATCTCACTCACATGGAAAAACGTGTGGCAGGCACGTCTGCACCGTGACATAGAGAGCTCTACTCCAGGTGCCTTTTGGAAGCCAAGTGCACCGTGTCCGCCCACGATGTCCGCGGCAACAGCGCGCTACACTGGGCCGCAGCCAGTCATAGCCACCAGGCAGCGGAGGAGCTGGCAGAGCTTCTGCTGGTGCCCTGGCGTTGGTTAGCAAAGTCAAAGCTTGATGCGGCGTGACATGTGGTGCGGCATCAATAGCCAAGGCCTCCATACACTTGGAACATAGATCCCTCCGCCTCAGTGCAGCCATCAGATGAACCGAATGAACTTGGCTTCGCGATCAACCAAACTGTCACCATTTGTCACCAACGAATCTTTCATGAACTAATATATATATATTATATATATATATACACCCTGCGTACGTCCAATCTGACCCAGGTCTGGTCACCAACGAATCTTTAAGACCTCTTTGAGTGATTTATTCACTTGTATGACCAACTGACCGACTCAAAGAACAAAAGCGGTCAGGAACTCCTGACCTTTTTCTTAGGGATGGAGTGATTATTTGGTTCCAGTTTCAAGAGTCACATGTTGGATGGTGCCCTGGCGAACGAGCAACCACCATGCCACCATGTGTGGGTCCTATAATAGGAGTCCTATATGGTCCTATGATACCATGGCGACAAGTGCTCACGTTGGAAGTCATCAATTAGGTGAGTTCGCCTTCACCAAGTTGGTTAACAAAGTCGAAATTGTTGATCAGTCACATGTCTATGATCCAAGCAATATACGCTCAACTGTCCAAACTCCTTTTCAGAACAACTTTAGAACAGGTCGCTCAAGCCGCAGGTTTTCTATGACTGCAAGACTGCAAGGTCTTAAATGCCTAGCTTTCGTCCCCCTTGACACTCTTCACATGCCTATAGGCAAGTGCAAACTGGGACATGGAAACAGACATGACAAATGCATTCTTCTGTTCAGACCTCCAACTTCTCCAGGATGCCTCTGCAGATCCTTTCGCCTGCAATGGCAGTGGCCAGCTGCCGGACATCCCACGTCTCCAAGAGCTGGCGCTGCGCTCCAGCGAACGCCGGGACTCGGTGCCGCGCTCCCCGCGGCCCCGCACGGACGCGGCGCCACCGGACGCGGCTCGACACGGGGCAGGTGGTGAGGAGGAGGTGCCCAGGTGCCTTGGAGTCAAGGGGACACAAGGACAGTGCCTGGTGGAAAGCGGGAATGCTGGGGCTGAGGTGGCTGAGGTTTTGGGCGAAGCTCCAAAGTGAGGTTGTTTATGGTAGAGCGGCTTTCGCAGTAACTGAAACTCCTTGAGCCGGGACCCTTGAACACTTTTCTGGGTGGTGGTTGGTTGGAGAGAGGTTTATGTTCAACCTTCACTTGGGATGATTGAACCCATTCACTGACTAATATTTTTGGAAGTGAGTTGAAACCAGCCAGCCAGTCTTGGTCGGTTTTTGCATTTGATTCACTTTTTGCTCCAAGTCCAAGTCCCACGCAATTCACTGCCAAGGGTGTTCACACAAAAAAATACTGGCAGGGTCCCTCCACAGGGGATCGCAGGGGTCATTGCCTTGGGAAAGCGCAACAGCCTGACACGACCGGACATCTTGCACAGGGCTTGCTTGATGCGGCCATGTCTTGAGGTTCTCCTACATCAGCTTGGAGAAGAAGTCCACCAGTGGAGGCGTCAGACCCGCAAACTTGTTTGGCAGATCTGACACTGATCTATCAATCCTTGCAAGAAGACTCTCCTTTGTTCACAGCAACACACGCCAACAATTTCAACCTTTGTGCAGGAGGATGCAGGAGGGACAGTCCATCTCAGTATAGACCTCACACAACTCCCCTGCCTAACAATCCGCTTATTATATATATATATTATATTTATATACCACCATGCGAAGTATAGACATCATCAGGACTGACCCCGCCCCCATCCCCCCTTTCTCGTCCTCCAGTTCATGTTCAATGCCTCCGGCCCTCTGGTCACCGGTTTTCCGAACGCCGACCGAGGCTTCCTCTCCTCCTTAAGCTTCCTGAAGCCCCCGGTGCGGGACCGCGCGGGGCTCATGCGTCGGGCAGAGGCGCGGCGCGCGGTGCACTTGAGCCCGGAAGAGGAGGATGTGGGCATTTGGTGCCCTGGCACGACAGTGGACATCTTATGTAGACTCTTGATTCATCTAATATCCTCTATCAGCCTCTATCCCATTGGAATTGGAAATCCTTCTTCATATGCTGGGGTTCTTCATCAAGAGTCTACATTATGCTTCTTAGAACCAGGGCCTTTCTTTGGGTGTCCAGGACGTGGTCAGGGGCGTCACTTGGTCATGGCCATCGGATGTTCTTCGTTTCGGGAACGGCCGTTCGACAGCTGCGAACCTCCGCGAGCCATCGGGTTGGGCCCGGGTTGGGTCCTTCTTCGGCGCTTCTTCGGGCTCCGCTGTGTGAACGTAGCCATGTGCCAAATGTTGAAGGAAAACGTCGAAAACCATAGGGGAAATCACGGGCGCAAACAGATGGCAACTTGAGCTGACGAAAGATGCAACATTTGGGCGGGATTGCTGCAACAAGTGGCTGACAAATATACACTGAACAAAAACTATGTGCTGGGCTGGTACATCATAAAAAAGGTAGACTGGAGCTTAGTGGATCATGCCCAGATTGCTGCAACAGTTCGCAATCTTCAAATAGACTACATTCGCCATGTGTGTGTACATCACCAAAAAGCCAACATGAATGGAGCAAGGCAGAGATTCAATTCTGCAGCCTGGGGTGTGCATACATTGCACATGGCAAGGCTATACCATGAAGTCATGATTTCGATTTGCATCAGCTCCTCAGGGCCAAGATTAGATCTAAGGCCACTGCAATATAGCTAGATAAACCAAAATCACGTTCTACAGAGGTAGGCGGCGGCATGTGCCATCTGTGTGTGTGTGTGCCAGGTTGTGGCGGCCAAGATTTCACCTGAAACCATTGCAATATAGTTCGACACATTAAGAGAGTCGGTGCCAAAAAACCCTTGGAGTCCGAGTGGTCAATCCTGCGGGGTTTGCGCCCGTTTTGGAAACAGACACAGAGACACTTGGGCGCTACCTGTTGGCACATGATATTTCTGACCCTTAGTCAGGTATCGCATCCTCTTGTCTTTTTGGTCGCTGCCAGATTTGATGGCACACAGGTAGTTATGTGTGGATATGTTCAATGGGTGCTTTGACATTCAAAAACGGCCTGGGTGCCAACAAATTAGACCCGTCGCTATGTGCCAAACGTTGGTGATTGACTATAATTATACTCAAAAAACATATAAAGGAAAGTGTCACTGATCACCACATTGACATCACCCTGTAAGTAAAGCTAGTTTTGAAACCTCATGAAACATTTGTTGACTCCGCTTTGACTAATAATTGACATATAATAATATATCTAGAATGCTATTCTGTGCGACTGTTGAAGATACAGTACTATTCATTCAGCATGCTATTCGATCAATGTGTCAGCAGTCTTCTCATGTTCTTCTCCTTCTCTTCCACACAGCCGCTGCTTTGCTGCTCGGGTCACCTCCCACCTGCCGTCCACTCCCGACGGCCGAGGTCCGACTGGGTCACCGTCTTCACCCACGCGGGCCTCAGCGCGTGCGTGGCGCCGGCGCCGGCGCCCTCGAGCGATCCGACGAACAGCGCGTGCAACACGCAGGCGCGGCCGGAAGCGCATCGAGGAGAGAGGGTGGGCTTTAAGGGCCAAGGGAGGGAGTGAAGATGGAAGGGAAGAGAGTGTGAAGGGAGTGAGAATGTGGAAAGGGGAGGAGTTGTAAAACGGAAGCTGAAGCTTCATTGAAGGGTCTTTGAATTTTTGAAGTTAGGTCCGTTTCTGATAGCTTTTTGGGGACAGATTGGACCGACGGAGAGGCGGATTGTATGCGGCGATATGTCCAGGAGAAAAAAACAACAACACCTACCTCTCATCAGACCCTCTTCTCTCCCAGGCGTTGGTCTTGACTTCGGAGCGTTTGCTCTTCCTCCGCGCCGCCAGCACGGGCGCCGCCGTGCGCAGCGGGTGGTCCCTGGCACAAGGCATGGCGCTGCGGCAGATCCGGCAAGTGGTGGCCCAGCAAGATCGACTGGTCGGATCCGTTGTTGAACCGCGAGGTGGGAAGGGGCTCAGCCCTGACACTCCATGTATGTCATATGTATGTCTGGGGCGGTTGAAAAGGGGTCTATGTTATATCACAATAGGTCTTACATGGAGTGTCTGAGGAGTGGTAGAATGGAAAGCTGCTCCCCAAAAATGTCGACCTGGAAATCCAAACTGTCAGAAAGAACTTGCAGTTGAGATCCTTAGCAACACAAATGTTTTGGATGCACCCAGTTTGGTTGTTTGGGTTTCCAGGTAACATGACGTAATATGACCTTGGTGGAACTGAGGGAAGACTTTGTTCCCACGGCTAAGGGTTTGGAGGATGCTGTTGAAGATTCGATGAGGGACCTGCAGCAGCAGATATGCTTATATAGATGTTGGACCTGCAGTTATGAGTCATGAGGCGACCTCCAGTCAACCACTGGTTTGAAACAGTTGTCCGGTTTCCGAATTTTAATTCAGCGCTTCCTGTCAGTGTTCGTTCGACTTCCTGTCAGCGCTCCTCCTTTCCGGACATCATTTCACCTCTTTTCACCACCGGTTCCGTCCGCAGCCAAGGTTCCGTCGGGTGTGTATTGCCGCTCTCCGAGTGCTCTTCACTTCGGTCTGTTTTGGGGTTCCAGTGGATCAGTCAAGATCGGTCAGGGCAGTGCGTGTCCTTCCCTCGGTCGCCCCAACCAGGTCATCCCCGGGCGTTCGGATGGCTTGCTCCTGCTGCGGGTCCAGACCAGCGATGAAGTCTTGTCGCTGAGCGCGATTGATCGAAGTCCTCGTGGAGCGATTGCGTCGAATTTTGGGGTAGAACGGGGATCCGGGGTTCACCTCAACCCGTTCTACCAACCTCAACCCATGGCGGGTAGCGCTAGCATGGCGCCATCTCACCTCAACCCGTTCTAGGATGGCTTTCTCACCATGCTAGCGCTTTTGCAGCGTTTTCAGGTGGGATCCGGGGTCATGACAACTGAAGGTACTGTTTTGGGAGAAAAGCGCCGATTCTCAAGGCACCTGAGGTATACTGTAGCGAAGGTGGGTTAACCGAAACAAGCCCCAACTCACAGGTTTGCATGGTCAAGTATAATCAACAACCAGACTCCAGGTTGGTTAGATGTGTGTATGTTGGACCACTATGATACTATACAGATCTTTACAGTATTCCGCAGTATTCCCATGTATTCCCGTTGGCTTAGCGGCTTTACCTGAAATGTTGGCAGCTGGGTTTTTTGAGATGTTGAATCATAAGTTGTTCATTCCTTACCAGTCATTTTCTTGGGATGATTTGGGCTGGGAAATATTCTGCACCTGACATCGAATCATTTTGGGTTGCCTGCACCATTGCATGAGGGATGGCTAATCTGCAGAGCAAAGGACATGCAGGTATCCTATTGTGCAGGATCCTTGACCTGGGGGCCTGATTCGTGCAAGTAGCGGTTGGTAGATGACTCAGGTGCATACCAGAGCATGTCTTTGGTATGGTCGCACTATCCTCTCTCCTCCCCTCCCCAACTTGGCAACCCGGTTCTGGAGGTGGGTTGATGCTGGCTTTCACCAAGAGGTTCTGGGGGAAGGTATACACTCCCTGATTTTCTCATCCATGGTGAAGTTGCACGGCCCCCGAGTTCGGTGAAGTCTGCGGGTTCCGCCGACCGGTTTGTGATCGAAGACTGTTTCTTCCACGTAGCCATGAGTGGAACACGGCAGCCCCACTCTGCTCACGCTCGTCTATAAACAGGTGAACTTCACTTATACCTGGACCCTTTGAGGGGGTGGTTAATGGACACCCCTTGACCGAAAAAAAGGGACTATCAAAGGACACCCGGAATCCGTGGTGCTGGTATAACTGATTCTTTCAGGTGTAGGGAGTGTACCTGAAACCCGCCATCCTCTTCGCACGTCATCCGACCCTGAGAGGCACTTCCATACGGGGTCTCGGGAGACGTTCTTGGAAGAGCCTGGGACCTGAAGAGACGAAAACCAACGGATGGTCCTCGAAGGGAGACCTGTCGAAACCGTCGAAACCCCCAAGCATGCGTTGAAATAGGGAGACCTGTCGAAGACCTGACCCCCTGCAAGTTTCGGGAAATGGACCAACATCCCTCTGTTTTCAATAGGGAGACCTCCCGATTTCAAATACACGCCCAAATGCCGTCCCAGACCCTGAAGATGCAATCCACCCAAAGGTGATTGGTCAACAGTTCAGTCCCAGGGTCCCATCGATGGAAAGGTTTGGAGTTGACCGAACATGGCAGCAATGACATGCAGCGACTCATATACCAGACCATCGGACTGGCATATTTACATACATTGACCATCAGTCAGACCCCTTTTCAAGCACCCCCGAATGTATAGGTGAATATGCCAGTCCCATGGATGGTCTGGGATGTTGAAGATGAATGAGATGCAACGACTATCAACGGCTTATGACTTATGACATGATAATATGACTCAATGGCGGTTTCTGATCATCTCCTCCTTTTTGGAGAGGTCCCTTCAGTCCGGACCTCACAAGGCTTGGTACAGCATCCTCACCCCTTTGAATGTGTTTGAACCACATAATATACCCACATGATGTGTTTGATGACCAAGAAATCCTCCCTGATTAGATGGGCCACACCCTGAGCTTACAAACACAGGTCTCTGACGCGCAAAAAAATGCGAACAGGAATTCTCCCAAAAGCCGGTGGCCTTTTTAGGCTCCATGCAGGTTTCTGTAGGTTCATGTAGTCGATGTAGCTTTACAGTCACACTGCTTGTTCTTAGTAGACATGCTGAGACTGTTGTCCATTTCAGGAGTGAAGAAAGCTCCAGAAGTTCCATCAATTGATACATCCCTGGAGTCCAAGGCCTGGGAGTCCGGGCACCGGCTCCGGGCACCACCCGTTCGGTGATCCGCGGTGATCGCCGTCCCAGGAGCTGTGGCAGGCCATGCTCCGCGCGGGTTGGCCCAACCGCGCCGTGGACGCGTCCGACGATGGCAGTGCCGTGAAGGACTTCTTCTGCGTGGACCCAGAGCCGGTGGGGAGCTGGGGGGAGGGGAAGAGGCACGTGAAAAGAGACCAAAAGGCCAAGAGGAATTCACGAACAGTCTTGTGGCGCAAAGCTTATGAAGCCATGTGACGTACTTGTGGGCTTGGAAGGAGCTTCTTTTGGTGGTCCATGCAAAGATTGAGGAGCCTAGACAATCAGCCTTTGGCGCAAAGAACTTGATCTTTGCCAAATACTATGAGTCAGCAACCTGCATTCCTGCATGTCGATTCCGGGATAGATGCCCAGCGTCAAGTCGAATATGAATTTACTGTTCCTGGCTATTTCATGAAACTGCTGTGCTGTTCGGTGTGAACCACATCAACACGCTATGACTTCTGCCTGTGTCTAACCAAAAGGGCTTCTCGCAAGTTAGTAATTTTTCAGACTCCACTGGTGTTGTACTTGCCTTCTCAACCTGTAAAACAGGGAGTGCAGCAGTGTATGCCTTTGATCCTTTTGCGCCTCAAGCGCCAGCAAGAAACCGGCCTCGCAAGCATGGGTCAACACCTCCACCTTCCACCCAGCCTTCCACACGATGCTCTTCTCAGTTGGAAGGTGATCCCTTTATTGGACCTGGCGATGCAAGAGGCCGCTCAAGGCACCTTGGCCTTCTTGAGCGGCAACCTCTTCGTGTCACTCGGGCAGAACAGACAGATGCAGAACCTTGGGGCCCCGGGGCGATCGCTGGGGCGATGGCTTGCTGTAGGCTCTTCCGATCTGATAGCGATCGGAGCCACGAGGTGAAAACAAACGCCACCAGAGAGACTTAGAAGAGGCCCATGCGGGAAGAGGCTCATGTCAAACGTGCCACCTGATGGCATGGACCCTTGGACTATCTTCCTTTACAACCTAGTGTACCTATTTGACATCATAAGACTACAGATATGTACAGATGCTTGTGAGACCAGGTGCCTTTCTGCAAGTCAAGGGTTTTCGGGTTGTACTCAAATCGGCCCTAAAAAAGCCAGGTCCACCGTGGGTGATTGATTCGCAGCTCCCACCCTGATTTGATCACTGCCGTAGTGGTGTGTCTTGGCCTAGTTGGCCTAAGTGGTTGTTTTATGCACCCTGGAACCCAATCAAACCATGATTTGATTATGTCATGCAGCTCAGTAATGATTCTGATGCCCTGCCACAGTGGATGTGTGTGTGTGTGTGTTACTTTTTGCCCTGCACTTGAGATTGGATGTACAGTAATCCCATCTTGGCTGATTCCCATCCGCGGCTTTGGGATTTCCATCTGCGTCACGTCGTGAACGACACCACTCCACTCACCACTGAGTCGACAGACGACGCGACAGACGGCCGAGGCTCTTGCCACGGGCACCGAGCTCGCTGCTGCTGTCGGGCGCGGAGACGATTCGCTTTGGCTTTTTGGAGCTGCAGATGCTCGGCCCGGCTGCACCGCACGGATTCACCCAGCAGGTCATGTCGAAACGTGGGAAAGGAGGGGTGTTAGGACAAAAGAGATCAGGTATGTTGACGTTTACCTGATAATTTACCCCTTACCACTGTGATGTTTGCACAAAATTGGTTCCATTTTTGTCATATGGATTTGTTGGGAGACTGATCGCATACCAGGGGAAAGACCACTTCGCAGCACTTGTTCTCCCTTGTGAAAGGCCCGACCAACAGAGCCACAATAAACAACCATTTGTTGAAAGAACACTCTGACGAACACGTCGCATGGAAGTGGAGGATCGCCCTTTTTGAAACCTACTTTCCTTTACAAGCAGGGGAGAGCATCCACTTCCATGTCGTAGGTGTGTAGATCCAAAACTGACCAGTGACCAGTGACAAGTGTCCGTCCGTCCCGAGGGTCATGGGATCCGCTGGATCTGAAAGATTGGCTCCGAACCCGACCTCTCAGCGGGCGAGTTCCTGGCACCTGGATGTTCGGACGGTCTGCGCTGGAACGACACCATCACAGGGCGACAGATGGGAGTTGAGATGGGACCATTGGCCCATCCAAAACCATTGGCCCATCTGTCGCCCTGTGGCATGGAATTCAACCAAAACGCAGACACCGGTGCAGATTTTCGGGACGTGTTCGAACCGGGCCGGGGACGTGTTCGTTCGTCGGTGTTACGAAGTTCCCCAAGGATGCGACGGCAGCCCAAGCAAGCTGGTGCTGGAGTCTGTGTGCGGCTCAGTGTGTGTTTTACACCTGGAAGGTGTGGACGTGGAGCCTCAAAACAAACCGTTTACATGAGGTCTCATAAAGGTGGTTGGTGATTGATGAAGAGCCAATTCTGGTGTGGTTCTCATAGTCTTAGAGGTTCTTGTATGTGTATATATATGTATATATATTAGATTATATAAGCTAGTATATATGTAACATGTATATATCATTCTTGGTGGAACCAGTGTTGGAAATCGATTGTATGTGTCTTCCTCGCGGCTGCAGCGACTTTGAGCATGCTCTCCTACCTGATGAACTCTGATGGGTCAAAATCCCCCTTATCATGCCATGCTCAGGGTTTTTTCACATGTATCTCCTCTAGATCCACAACTCGACTTGTGATACCGCTGCCGGGCGCGTTTGCACCGGGTGCCGGCCGCGTGAAAACGACGCGCCGGTGGATCCCAGGCTTTGATCGGCCTGGCTTTCCACAGACCGTGTGTGAAGAAACAAACCATGTCGAGCAGATGTTCCAAACACTAAGATGAATGACCATGAAGAGACAAACAAAACAATATTGCTTTAGATGCCTGCAGCTGCAGCACTATCTTGGTTTAAAAAACACATACCATTGAATAAGGCGTGCGGATTCTAATTCCTTGGTCCCTTCAGCCGGGGGAACCGCAGCGGAACCCTCACAGCCTCGCCCAGGCTGGCAATGGCAGCGGTACTTCTTCCTCGCCAAGGCGTTTGGAGAGGAGTCGAACACACCTTCTCTCCGCTTGCGGCGGCTTTGGCCGACTCGCTGCATGGTTTGGTGAAAGAAAAGTACCAAAAATATGCATGCTGCATTCTTTAGACATATACATATACACACAACAGACGTGTTTCAGCTTCCTATTGTCCCACTCTTTGTTTTTGTTGCGTATAGTTTCTGAGTGAGTCATGAAACCCTTTCTCACAAGCTATTCCGGACTTAAAGCCGGGTGTTGCGTGATGTCATGAACTTCGCACATAGAAATCGCACTCCCGGCCGTTGGCGTGGCCGTGGCCAGGGAGGGAGGCCCCACGAGCGGTGCTTGGGCTGGTGTTTGCATCCCAACGCAGAGAAGTGGAGCTTCGGAGCGGAGAAAAAGCGATGAAAAAGCACCTGTTTTTGGTGCACGTGGTCCTAGTTTTGCTTATTTGAGGTGCTTTCTATTTTCCATATATGGTGAAATCCCCATATATGGGGAATGTGTGTAAACTTCTTCCAGGTTCCTGGACAGCAAATCCGGCTCAGCCCGAAGAGGTACCGCAGGTACCGGTGCTGTTTCTTTGGTTTGGGTGGGTTTTGGTGGCCCGTTCCATGGAGAATTTGAGGTTCCAGAGGCCAGAGATGTATTTGGGTCTATCTAATTAAAATTCTTCTACTAGTGAAAGCATATTCATGTATAGTCGTCGTAATCCACATATCCAATGTGATAAAGGACCTTATTGACTTTGAGGGTTTAGAGTGCATGAATATACTTGGCTGACGGCTCAGATTCCTTGTAGACACATGGTGAAAATGTGGGGAAGAATCGACATGCATGGCTGGGAACTGTAGCGTCTTGGTTTGGAAGAGCAAGGAAACAAAGGGAGCTACCAATTCAAGGTGCCAACGTGTGACCAGTGAATTCTACACTCTAGACATCTCCAGACACCCTTTTTCAAGGTCCTTTCCCAATGAACATGGATGGAAGACGCAGGGCTCCTTGAAGATTGCGTAGTATTTTCAACCCATGGTTGGTTCACTTTGAGAAGTTTTCTTTTGAATCTCGTTTGGAAGTAAGTCACCCGCCACCTTCTGCCGGCGTCTGAAAAAAAGGTATCAAAATGGACTGTTGATGATGCACGCCCCTAGAGATCCGTGAAACAGGTGTGAAACGCCGATTCTGTTGGACCACGCCGTCTCCGTGCTTTTTGTTGCGGCTGAGGACAGGCCACATTTTGCTCCAAAGCGTGACGCAGGCCTGCGGGACCAAGTGCCTGTGGCGTCTGTCGCCCTTCCGTGTCGTGCCTGTCGCAGGGGCGTGTGCAACAGCGAATGCGGAGTTCAGCACAGCGGGACTGTGGGATGCGAACTGCCAAAGAAAGTACTTCCGATGTATAAAACAGCTTTCGAGAACCAGATGATTGAGGCTTCACAAACAAGCCTTTCTCAACCCAGTCCCAATCAGACACAGATGCTAGTTCCAATATGGCGGCTTGCTGGAGATCCCTTGACGTAGCAAGTGGTTGTTTGTGGAAAGATCCACTTGCTTCTGGTTGTTTGGGTTTCCAGCTTATATCGGTACTATATCAGAAACCTGAGTACCAACTATTTGCTGATCGCTCTACAGATGTTCGAGGCTTCACTGGCGTTACCTCAAGCAAGACTTGACTCGTCGAAAGATGTGATTTGGAACACGGCGACATTCTGTTAAACCATGATCAAGAATGCCAACTTAAAGAATGACATACAGTACATAACTAACAATGAATTTATAGTCATCCTCGAGTAGAGACGGTTGGGAGCATTTCAACATACAAATTTATGTTACTTGTTTGTAGATATGCCCCCCGCAGGATTCATTGAAAGGATGATAGTTGCACTGTGAAGTAGAAGGCAAGCAACATGTGAAAAAAATATGGTTGCTTGTGCGTCAATGGGTAAGTCAAACATGTTCTTCGTCCCTTGGTGAACGAGGAGCATCAGACCCTAATTGTCTGAATTAGTAACTGAACAGAGGGAAGCAATACCTGAGCTTCTTGTTACTAGTAGTAATGCCAGGAGCTACTGGTAGCTTCTTGTTACTATATATACCGCAAAATGATGCGGAGCTTACATTCTAGTTGGTGTAATTCCAACATTCAGCGCCTCCTACTTGATCTGGCTTCCTTTTGGAGGTCGTTGTTTGGGAACCCAAGACCCAAGAAGTTAAGTATGACCCGAACCAACCATGGAACTGGAATCATATGCCGCCCCATTCATTGATGACCCCTGGAATCGATCGCACAACCGCACACGGTCCGAGGGGTCGGTCGACGGATGGTCTTGGTTGTGCGGATCAGGTGCACTTGATTTTTGGTCTCTAATTATCAATTACTCCTATATAAGTAATTAGGCCAAGGTGAGGTCTCCGTGATTCTCTAGATTTAGATGAGAGTACTAGGCCAAGGTGAGGCATTCTCTAATTAGGCCTCCGTGGTCGTACCGAACCGTTTCGTTTCGGGACGAGACGTTGGGACTGGGTTGGAGGGTCCTGACCCGAATCGGAGGAGCGACATATAGATACTTGGAGGTGGGTATGGGTGAAGCGGTGGAGCCCGGAAACTTGGGGAAGAGGTGTTGTTTTACTTCATTTCTTTGGTGCTCCTTCTTGTGCTTCCAGTGGTCTGCGTTTACAGGCTGGGGGGGTCTTGACTTCAGGAATATGTGGTATACCTAATTTGGTGGTTTGGGTTGGTAGTTTGCTCTTCTACCAACACCCCAAAACCGCCCAATTCGGTTGATTTTTCCTGGTTCCGGATTCCAGCAAATCTGGTCGTTCGCCAGTTTTACTCCACCACACGTGCCAGGTGAAGTCGGTGCGTGGTAGCGCGGGGGAAGTGCCTTGGAGGACGTTGGCTCGGACCAGAATCGGAGGGTGAGAAAGAACCGATGCAAACGATTTGCTTAATAGAAAATGGGTTGCACCTGGTGCACAATATGCGATACATCGTCCTAAATTAAATATAGCGTCCTAGGCTATAGGCTATAATTAGTATAAGACCGCTTTCGAACCCATATATATATATATAGACATCCTGAGGACATCCACTTGCGATGCTTCAATCCGAGGCATGTGTGGTGATTCAATCCCAAAACCAGATCGTGGCCACAGTGAAAGCCCGCGGCAGCCGCGAGCGCGAAGACTGGTTGGACGCCCTGCGCAGATTGGGGGTGGCCGACCGCATCACGTGATCTCCAAAAGAAGCGCCGACCGCGGCAGCCGCGGCCGTCACTTTCGACAGTGTCGTCGCGGGTGTGGCGCGTGGGACGGGCGCGACGGCGCGCCGTGGGTCACTTTCGACGGGCGCGAGTCCCTACGGCGCTGGAGGGAGTGAAATGGAGGAATTTTGACGGATGTGGAGAATATTGGAGAATGTTTGAGACTAAATCCTTGTGGTGTGGTGCATGGCAAGAAAGGAAGTAGATGTTGAACATGGCAACTGCACCAGTCTTTTTGGCCGTTTCAACGTTGTTCCTCCAATGGTTGGTTTCAACAAAAGCAAACACATGGCATCTGACTTATTCGGAGTGTCAACACACCTAAGACCTACGCCGCTGAAACTGGGCGGTGAGATGTTCATCGTTGATGTACCTAGAACCTGAGCGGCCTCTTTTTTGGACCACCAACAGCCCAAAATAGGGTCTTTTAAATTTCCTAGCAAAACAGTGGTCAAATGGGCTCTAGGTAGGTGAAGATTCCACAAATTGTGTTGGTTCATGGTTGGAGGGTGCCGGCCACACTAGTGACCGACCTCGCCCTTTCAGTCGATGCTCTTGCTTCTTCGGACTGTCCAGGGGAACTCCTCTCCCTCCTACCCTATGGGAGCCGATGCGCTCCATCTCCGCAGGCTTTCCTGCAGCAAGGGGACCAAGAAGAGGCCTGGATGGGTCATCAGAGATGGATAAGATAATGTCCACCTCCTAATAATATCCCCCCCCCGAAATCCAGAAAAATCCTAGAAAATCTTGATTTGAATTGGAATTTAATGGAAAGGAAAGGAAATTGAAAGGACAATGAAAGGAAATGAAAGGTCTGGAAGCAGCTGAAAATCAGGGTTCAGAAAACAAATAGTATTATTTGAGGGCAATTTATTGTTGGATTTTGAAAAGATTTAGTATTGTTCACGTCCAATTTATTATTACGAGGTCAACATTAGATATGTGCGGTATGCTGCTAGGCTATGCTAACTCAGGACAAATGCATCACTGGGTCGTGTTTTTTAATTATATAACATCTCCTACTCAGGTATCCAATCGAATTTGGTCAGTGCATCCATCTCCGGTGTACCAAAGAGTGCTTTGGGCAGTAGCAAAAGCCAGGGTAGACTATGACCAAGATTGTTTCACCAACTTCCATCTGAGGCTGTGATAAACCAAAGCTCTCATTTTGGTGCCACGTCTCCTGCATTGCAGTTCACCGAGACAGCAATCCTTCTGGCATTCGTTGAATTTCCGGTAGCTGCGCACTTTATGGTAGAGAATCTTACAGAGTCTCACACATATCCAGACCATCCATGGGACTGGAACGTTTGCCTACAGACCCCAAAATTCAACCACCCCAATAAATCAGTTTGTTTGGGCCAGTCCCATGGATGATATGGGACAATGTTTAGGCTAAGACAGGTTATTGCAAGGACTCCTTCCAGTGAGCTTGGCTGACCGAGAGTTCATCCCAAATGACGCTTGGCTGACCCTGACCTCCCCCCCCACTCATTTAGCTGTGGGCAGCTGGAGCCCCTTTCACCAGAGTAGGTGTACCATGGTGGACCCCCCAGGTGCCATGACAAACCGCCCTACGACCGCCGCTCTGGACCGGCTACACGACCGGACCGGCACGTGGCACGTCAACCTGGTCCGGCAGATCAGGTCAAGTCACCAGCCACCAAGCCACCAGCCACTGTGCTGGTCAACAGGCCCTAAACCCTAAGCCCCCGGTCAACCGTGTTCGGCCAGCAGCTCGCCAGGCCATGCGGGTGGCCCAAGAGCTGGTCACCCTGTGCAACGACAAGCACGACGGCAAGCGCGAGGCGACTCGTCGCGACGGCCAGCGACGGGTTCTAAAGGGCGGAAACGATTCGACACCTGCGAGCAGAGAGCCCACCCAATTGGCGATACCGTAGACATCCAGGTTTCAGGTGCTCCAGCCACCTCTCCATGACTTGTGGCGCCCCAGGGAGCGAGCCGGCCGAGCCCGGCCTCGGGGCAGGTGTGGAAGAAGTACCCAAAGCTGCTCACTAGAAAGCCCACTTTTTTGGAAGTCGTGTTTTTAAGGGCCCATTGTCCAGGTCCATGTTGGTGAGTCGGGATTGTAGCAATCCAAGGGAGCTGGCTCCCCTACCATTCCGATGCAAAAAGATAAAAAGTGATCCTCACCATGACATTTGTTTGCTTTCATGCATGGTGAGGAGCATGTTGCCATGGTCATGGGCCTTGTGGTTTTGGATTTGGCTTGTGGGTCCAAGGGGTTAAGGAGTTCGCGCCGGGGGTGTTGCCAGGGTCTCCAGTTGGTTGTGTGTTTGTGGCTGTGTGTTTTTGATTGTTTGTGGTTGTGTGTTTGTGATTGTGTGTTTGTGGTTGTGGTTGTGGCTCTGTGTTTGTGATTGTGTGTTTGTGGTTGTGGTTGTGGCTCTGTGTGTGGCTGTTTGTTTGTGATTGTGCTTGTGTTTTGTGTGTTTGTGGTTGTGATTGTGTATAGCGTATAGCATTTTGTATAAAAGCACTATATAGGTTGACAAATCTTAACACAAGCATAGGCCCCCAAGAGACGATCATTTCATATACAGGTTGGTGTAGCGCTTGTTGTAGGCAGTTCATCCTGGTCCGACCATTCTATAAACGGCCATGTTTATAACATGGAAAGTCGCAGCCCAAACAGATAAGTCACCGGTATGCAGAAAGATCACAAGATTCTGATTGGTATGATTGATTTAATGATTTGTCTCATCAAAAAAGCCAGCAGCAGTCCGCAAAGCACAGTGACCACTTTTGCGGGGGCTTGGAGGCTTTGGGCCCTTGACCAACACGTCACTGTTAGTGGGACAGCTCCGAGGCCATTGCCAGGCTGATGGTGGCCAACATTCATTACAACATGTTCCTTGGACAAAAGGATGCCAGAGGATGGATCGACCCCTGCCCGCCCATGGCCGTCGATTGCTATGCAGCATTGTGTTGGCTGCCGAAGGGGATTCCCCAGGGATTGGGGCGAAGAAGGGAACCCCGCAAGGGAAACGAGGCCAAGGAACTGGGAAGGGAAGTGGAAGAAAGGAATTGGGAACCTCTATCTCTTCTTCACACAGGGTGCAGCAGTCCTTCTCAGAGGGCAACCCTTTGCTGCAAAATTGGATTCCCTCGTGGGGAGCAAGTCAAACCCCCACCGCCAGGGGATGTAAAGCTATATGATGTGAATCAAGTCTTGCAGCCAGCTGCTTGAGTTTTTGTGTGCAGTACAGCAGATTCTACAACCATACTGGAGTAGGTGGAAGTTGACCAAACCAAATAAGTATATTACCAGTTTTCAATTTTTTGTTGATGTGTTTGGATGTTCCTATCTATTGCATCTACTCCAGGAGGACTAAATCCGGACCGGTTGGAACTTTGAATGCCGCTTGGACCAGAATCTCAAGCGACTAAGGAAGGACTTCACTCAGTGCATTCTGGTTGCTCGAGAGGCTGGCTGAGATGCGCTTACATGGCACTCCAAGTCCAGGTATTCTATGTAATGTTTTAAGATGTTTTAAGTCGTGCATTCAGGGAGAGGCGCACTTGCAAATCTTGATGGTACTTATTTGGCAGATGTTTCAAGCTTATAGGTGCCCATTTTTGCATGTACCCGGACACTCCATGGGACTGGCATATTTGCCAATCAATTGACCCCTGAAACCACCCCAATGTAGGCAAATATGCCAGTCCCATGGAGTGTTTGGGGTATGGAAGCCAAAGAACCTATCAAGATGGTGCCCCACAGCCGAGGGTTCCCGACAGCCGTCGAAAAGGGGTCGAGAGGCTTCGCCCGTGCCCTGAGAGGTTTCGTCGTTTGACCTTCCATGCAGCCGAAACTTTCACTGAAAGCGTCCGATGTTTGTGATCCAACCCTCATCAGCTTCAACTTCAGGACACTCCGACGCAGACCGGTGGCAACTACACCACACCTGACTTCGTCGGATTCGCTGACTTCGTCGGTCAACCAGTGTTTTGGTTTGGAGTTTTGAAGTATAGGTAGACCATCCAAAACCTAGAAAAAGGAGGACGTTCAGTGATGTTCAGAAAAGGTTGTCTTTCTTGTTGCGGTTTGGTTGCAGTTGGAGCGCTAGATTGCCTCTAGAGGCAAGACCTAGCAGTTTGGCCATGGCTACTTGACCAACTAGCTGCCACTTCACTTGCGATTTTTCTTGAATCCGGGTTTGGGACCTCCAAACGTTGAAATTCGGGCACAGGCGCAGGTCCTCCTGCACGACTTGAGCGCCTTCATCGATGAGGCCGCCGCCGTGCGCATGGTGGCTGAGGCAGGCTGCTGCCGAGTTTTTTAAGTTTTGGAGGTTTTAGTGTGGAGGGTGCGGATGTTTGTTCTCGGTTGGTGGAACAAAGACCAGTTGAACAGTTCCACCTGTTGGTACTTCGTGAAAATGAGCCAGTTGTGGGGACAAAGCTCGGTGTTGCGTTTAATTAACTATATGTCTGGAAAACCGTTCTCGTTTTTGCCACCACTTTGGATTTGAGCCCAGAGCTCTTAAGAGTACGTGGTGAGGCCCGGGTTGTTCTGTATTCACTGATAAAATGACAATAGTTGTCGATCTATAACCTGTAGGCAGCAGTAGAGCATGGGAAGGGATCCCATTTTTTGTACATGCATGCTTACAATGAAGCCATGTGAAGCCACCCACATAGATTTAAGGGAAAGTAAAACCGTTTACCGAAGGTTCTAGTTCCAAGATACATTTTGCAGACCACAATGTCTTAAGTGGTGATATTGCCTGAAGCTGGCAGTGGGGCAAAACCAGCCAAGAAGACTATCAGTGGACTTTTTCACATGTTTGAGTGAACAACCCGAGGGCGGGGCAGTGTTGACCCAGTCGCAGTGCATCACCTTTTGTTGGTGGCCTTGGCACAGGCCATTCCTGGCCCGAAAGTATACGGCAGAGCCGTGTGGATTGAACAAGTGCTGTGATATGCTGTGATCTTGTATTTCCATCCTGTCAAGCGTCGGGCCATGCAATGGTTTTCTACTTTCGACTTTGCCCTGCATTGGAGCAGTCCTTTCCAAATGTCCTTTTGGCCGCTGACAGAAAGTAGTGTTTGGGTTTAAACATAATTTCCACCATATTTCCCTCCAAAACCCACCTACATATGTGCTTGGTGTGAAGCCATGCTTCGCCTCAGCACTTCACCAGGCATACCTGGCCAATGGTGAGCTACCACAAGCTGTCAAGGCAGCCGAACGTGCACGGTGGCCCAGGGACAGCGAAGAAGACGTGAGGCACTCATTGAGGCATACTGAAGCTGGTGAAGTTCTTCAGGTTGTGAGAAGCTTGATGTGGTGAAGAGTATACAGTCATGAGGAATTCTTGGACTTATTAATTAAGTTGTCTCATGATAGAGTTCTTTTCATCAGCATGATGTACGGAGCAGTTTTGAATTTACTGCTGTGATGATCTTCATGCGATCCTTGTAGTGCCGTTTGAGGAACTATAGATCCAAATGCGTGGGCGGCGTTTGAGATAGATTGGTTGCACTGGATGCACTTTAGGGCCTCATAGCACTTGTGTAGCACTTGCAGAGACAATCGAAGAGTGATTGAGAGTTTAGCGTGGCACGTGACAAGAGTCCTATAGCCCACAGGCTCTTGGACCCTCAAACTGCTCCGACATGTTGCTTCGCTTCAAAACCCTAGTTGTGAGGGTCAACACCCTAGCGAACTGAGGCTATGACATATGAGGATCCATTCTGAGCCTTTGGGAGGAAACGACTCCCACCCCAAGACCGGCCGTTGGACCGCCCGGACCGGCTGACCGCCCTCCGCCCTCCACCCTCCGCCAGTCCTTGCGGCTCCTGAAGGGCAAGCGCAAGGAAGCGGAAGAGGCCGGGCGCGAACGAGTCGTTCTTCGAACAAAGTCAGGTCACGGGTGACGCCGCGGTCAGGTGGGGAGCAAACAGCAGAGTGGAGCTTCTGGGAGAGGTGGTTAGGAGAACATGGAGCATTGTTTTTTTGTGTTTTTCGCGGACAAAATAGGGGGTGGAGAACATGAGATGGTTTGGAGGAAGGCCATTCAAGAGGCGGTTGTTAGATGGTGTTAGAAGTGGTGGAGACGGAACCTAGAAAGCGCCCTTTTTGGCTGTAAGAGGATACCAGTCCAGAGTGGCCGATCACTGTTTCTGGCCAGTAGAGGACCACAAAACACCACACCCCTCTTTTCGCAAGCCTTTTACTTAGCACTTAATGTAGACTCTTGATCAATAAAGCCCATCAGAAGAGGTTCTTCAATCCAAATGTGTCGTCTAAAACCCGAGCCCGAGAGGAGCTTCACACTGTACAACGATGCAAGAGTTGGGTGTTGAGTGCCTCTCAACTGGTGCCATTTGGTGCCAACAAGCTGAGGGGCAGCACCACGAAGCACCACGGAAGCCTCAGCAAACACCGCTTCCTTTCGCTGCCCTCGTGGCGGCTGTACGCCAAAAAGAGAGCAGCTGCCTGTACGCCTCATTGGCCTGGGCTTTCATGTCGGCTAGGCTAGTAGGCTGAAGTTCCTTCAAGACTTCACAAACAGTCACACTCGATGTTTGCCGGAACCAAATATAGACATCACCCTAAGAATCCGAGCTCGGGCTCTCCATGGCAGGGGTCGGACTAACCTCCACCGAAACGCAGGGGTCCGGGCCCGAACCAAACCCACTGTTGGTTCGGGCCCGGATTCTTAGGGCATAGACATCCAGTCCCTTCATCGAGGCTGGTGACCGAGCATCGGACGGTCCATCCTTCTTCGCTCGAAGCGCACGGAACTGGAAGACGTATCTACATTGATCCTTCAAACATCTTCAAAACAGCTGAAAAGCCACCCTGAACGGCGCCCCGAAAAAGCGTAGGAGGCATGTGTTTTTCGTGTGTTTTTTTTTCCCATACATGGATGCTTTCAGAAAGAAAAGGACCCCTTGATTGATTCCCAGAGTTCCAGACATGGACAGAATGGACAGACCCTCTCAGTTTGCTTCTCAGATCCAATCCATGCTGGTCTTGGCCTCTGTGAAGCTGCAAGTGCTCGTGCAGGCCAGCGATTCGAACCGTTCCTCTTTAGCCAATCTTGAGCTCTAGCCCCTAATGTGCTGGTGTTGGCCCTTTCCACCATGAGATGAGTGTCGTGTCGGATCCTGATGGTAGACGAGCTTTTTCGGATGTTTTATGCACCGAAATCGAAAGAAACAATGCATGGAGAGTGCGATCACGGATGGATGGAACAGTGATCAGGAGCTGGCCAGGCTTTGGGGATGAGGAACATTGGTTTACAGTTTACATAACTTTAGTGTTGTTTGGGCCAGATCCTCCACTCAATATCATTGGATCTCAGTCTCCGGATACCAACTGAGCAACTAATACTCAACCCCGCCCAAAGCCACCCAACCACTACAAAACCCGCTCACCCACCAGCAAAGTTTACACTTGTTTCATGGTGGCCCCATCAAGCCATACTTGTCTTTTACCAAGGTGGATCGTACATGTTTGACTTTGTTACTGGTGGCCATCCATGGAATTGGTTTGCACCAAGCAGTACATCTCTCAAGCTATTTACAACATGAAAAACACATGGAATACAACCAGATGGACAGCTTCTGCAAACTAACACACCTCTTGCGATGTTGCACTCCAAAATATGTCCGTTTGGATTGTGCTGAACACCCAGCATACACCTCCCAACCATCCGGTCATCTAGGACAAGGTCCGCGCACAGCGGGGCACTCCGACCTTCAACGTGGCCTTGGAGGATGCCTTGGACGCGGCTTCTTGGGCTTTGTGCACGCGGCTTCTGTTTTCATCATACAGTCAGTGTCTCGATCGAACTGAAGAACTGTTAATTGTTTGCCTGAATCAGAACTGTTCTAGAGATTAAGGCAGAAAATGGTCCTTCAGTTGAGTCAATGGGAACACGCATCCCGGGATCCTGGGGTGCATGATCCCGGGATCCTGGACATAACGGTTTGCTGGAATCCAAACACATGAAGAAGTGGTAGCCTTTCGAATGACCGAACATGAAACACAAGTTCTGCAGAGAACACACTTGTGCATAGCATATAGGAGTGTGAGTCCGAGACTACTAACTAGCGATGGCCTGAAACCTAAATAGCGATGGCCTCCAACCTACGAACGGCGATGGCTTCCACCCTAGATGTTCATGTTGGTGTCCGAAACAGGTCCCCGGTGGCTTTTCTTTTGCCACAATCGATTCCCCACCGGTCATGAAGAAGCTGATTTCGCCTGTCTGGCTGAGCGTCCCCTGTCTTCTGTACAAGGCTGAACAAGCTGTACACTTGGCGCCCGGGATCCTCAGATCTCGCCGTTTTGGGGTGAATAGAGGTGGATCCCTACCAGAGGTGAATTATGACTGGACCCTGGCGCCTGTATAAAAGTATCTCCAATCACCGTACGTCAGGTTCGGTATGTGGATCCTTGTACTTATGGCATTTTATGGCTTTTGGCTATTGAAAGTTCAAAGTAGGCTTGATAGTAGCCGTGACTACACTTTATGGCTACTTCCGGTGAATTGTAGTAGGCATGTGTAGGCGTGAACAAAGCCATGGTTTTAAGAAAGATGTTCAATCCCGAAAAACAACACCGAATTCAACAATTCAAAAACTCAAACGTTCAAAACCAAGAAAAGTCAACCCCCCCATTACAAATGTGCATTAAACAACTCAAAAGAATCAACCGCTTACTTGCCCTAACCGGAGCAAAACTGTCCAAAAGTTCAATTTCAAAAACTCAAACAGTCTACGAACAAGACCGGCTGTTAACCTTTTGAGTGCGCTGCCACCGGCTTCTGTGACAAAATCGTTTTGTCAAGCACTGCGCCCCCAGCGCACAGAATGCAGTTCTCAGTGGCCAGTGATGTGGACCGGTTGATTTCTCGGGGAACTCTGCAATGTTGAAGTTCAGGTCCGAAGGATGCGCCGTTCGGGGATCGGATCCAGGTGGAGCGGGAGGGTTCTTCTCGAATGGACGAGGCTGTCAGCCGTTTGCGCAGAGTTTGCGTAGAGCATCCATAAATTTGTTCTGATGCGTTTATGCGTGACATGAAGGCTCTACTTCCCAAGCAGAGTCAGTTTAGTTTTGCATGGCGTGACTATGTCGGCGCCAGAGAACGGGCTAATGTTGGCCGGGAGTTCTCTGAAGAAGAGCACGATTCTGAAGATGTGGAGGCGAGGATAGGGCAAGGATGTTTATGTTTCCACATTGCCATCCATGCAAGGGGAACGTATAGTGATTCGTGCACCACTGCATAATCTCAGAGTGAGTTGGAAACCTGTCAGGAAAGCTGTGACTCAAAGTTTGTTGCCTCACCTGCGGGCTTGTGGCTTGTTTCGCATTGTCAGACTGCAGATGTTGGGTTCACTGAGTCTCCTGAGTGCTTCTTGTATAATTTTAACCGCAGAGTCATATATGAGCGTCTCGTTCACTCCCCTCACTCCACTCACCCCCTCACTCCACTGCACTGCACTTCACTTCATTTCACTTCACTTCACTTACTCACTCTCTCTCTCTCACTCTCTCGCACTCTCATTCCGGGCTCGACACCAGGGAGCGTGTGAGGAGGAGAGTGGCAAAAAGGAAGAAAGAGGACCAGAGTTCATCAAGAAGCACAGGCTGTTTGAGTCCCGAAAGCCTCGAAGGAGAGGAGGCTGTTCGAGTCTTTTCGACCCCGACTCGAGGGTCCCAGCACCTCTCTCGACCCAAGGGCTGGCAGTGATGAGGGGCTCGGATGGACACTCCGGGCATCGGGATGGAGGACAAACCTGGTGTCATCGAAGCTGTGGCAGTCCAATATTAAAAGCAACAACTCCAGGCCAGAGCATTTGGCCCGGCTCAACGAGAGCTTCTGACATTGGCCTTGCCACCGAGCATGGAGTCGACCCCTATTGGGGTCGGACCGTAAGTCAGAGGTTGGAAATCATCCAACAGCCGATGGTCGCTCCGAGGGGCGCACAGCAGGAGATGAACATGGCCCAGGCGGCATACCAGGAGGCCAAGTTGCGCTACTTGACATCGTTGCTGGACGGGAGACAGAAGGGAGGAAAGCTTGGAGGAAAAGGAAAGGACTCTCAGGGAGGTTCGAGACAGGGACAGAGACCGAAAGAAAGGAAAAGGAAAGGGGAAATGAGACAAGAGCAAGGCGCACCCGCCCGCACACACACCCGCACTCACTCACTCACACTCAGCTCAGCAAGGTATCGCTTGTCCGATGCTTTGCATGTTTCAACTGTTCGAGTGTTCGAGTGTTCGTGGCTGCAAGCCCCGAAAACACTTTTGAAGTTTGCGACGCACCCGGTTGGCTCCGGTAGCGACACACACAAAGAAAGAACATGTTTTTCTTCATCAAATGCATAGGTTTCCGGTTTCTGGGTCAGTGATGTGATGTTTGTGACTGTCGTGTTCTTCACAGATGACGTAGAATCGCCACATGTTGCTGGTGAATGTTGGATCCAGCAAGTGATTTGCTGACATTGTCTGACGGATCCAGTTTCAGTGGGTTCAGTTTTCAGAGGTTGCCGATCAAAAAGGACGATTGAAAAACGTAATAGTAATGGAGCAGAACACTAATTTCATTTCGATGTGTTTGTTTGGTTTTGTATGCGGTTGTTGCAGACTCTTTGGTTCATTTGCTGGCCTTTGAATGGATGCAGAACTTCAATTTTGGCACCGGATAAAGGTCGTGCAACGTTCTTTCGTTGAGGTGGTAAGTCTTCAACATCCAAATGATGGTTTGACCCAAATGGCTCGGGGAACAATTCAGCAACCATTTATATAATTCTCCGAACCACTTGACTTGCCACTTGTGGGACGGCCTTCCCGTTGTAAGTCTCTGGACCTTGGGAATCATCACAGCCTGGCAGCATGGCAAATCTGAATAACTTTTCGGGTCTCTGACAGGGCGTGGTGAACTTCCAGAAACACCAGGTGATTTGCACCACCCCAAAAAAAGTAATTGATTGATATAATAGATTGAACTTTTTGGCGGGTCAATTCCATTCCGGGGACGCTAGCGGGTCGGGGGCAAGAAGTAATCCCTTCCTTTTCATTTCGACGTCAAAACTTGCTTAGGCGGGAGAAGCGAATGGCACAGTTGGGGCAGGTGGGGGTCCCGCGTTTGTTGGAATTGTGGACGTTCGACGATTCTTGATTATTTTTCGTTGAGTTGCCTGTGGTCGAGCAAACTCCAGCGATACTGATGAGTGTTGTCTCCAGATGTCTCCAGTGTTTTCTTCCTGATGGTTCGTGCTCATCCGGAACATAGCATGCTCAACTGGATGTCGGACGAGAGAGTTCTGGAAACGTCCAATACCCCAATCCACCTCAAATCCAACAGCAAACGTCGATTCCAAAATTCCGAAGCCTTAAAATCAACACTTCGTCACTGTGAGAACTCCCCCAGATTCATCTTTGTGCGGAAGGAAGGGAGTTGCACAGCCACACGAAATGCTGTAGAGCAGGAAACTCCTGTTTGCAGTGTCCTGGCTATGCTACCGTGACTGCCCTACACTACTATCCGGGATCCTGAGCATCTGTGAAGCCAGATAAACAATCTCTGCTTCCTACCATGGGTCTTTGGGCAGATTGCTAGCATTTAGAACACATGATAAAAATGGATCGCGAGACTCTTTTTTTACAGAGATTGGGCACGTAGGTGAGACTATAGGGACTTACCACCACCTATCAACGATTCATCGAAAGTCGCTAAGCTCTTTCAATCAAACCCACCAATCCTGTGTCGCCTCAGATGCTGGTGGCCTTGCTCAGTCGTGGCAAAATGCTTCCACGCAATGCGTCCTGGGTCCTGGTAAAGGGATGTGTAGATATAGGTACTAGAAGTTCTAGTTCGGCTGACTTGGATACACAAAGGACCAGAACAGACCATCCGGGTGCCCCTAAGTGACCCAAGGATTTAGCCAATCTTTCGAAAGCCTCCAAAATTGCCCTGACCGCCCTTGGTCCAGTCAACTGCTCCGTGCCAGGCGTTGCTCACGTTGGGTCAAGCACAGCTGGCTGGTCTCAGGACCAAAACGACACACATCACATTGGGTTGTGGAGAGGACGAGGTGCTTCTGTGGGTCGATCAGTGCTCTGTGGGTGCCCCAAATGGATTGCAAAAGGCTGAGCATGGCTACGTGTGTCACCATAAACGGGGATGACTCCCATGGTTTACCATCCAAATGGGAGTCTTATTCATCAGCAGTCTACATTGAGGTTGATGGAGGTTGATTTGGTGTCATCATTCGTCCTGACAGGAGCCGAAAATAAGGAGGTCTCAGAGGAAACGACCACCGGTGCCTTTTTCGCTTTCTCCACGACCCAATCACGAGCCCGGCGAGACATCATCCACACGGTGCCGACCGTTTCGAATCTCAGCCTCGACGAACGAGTCGGGAGGAGGTCGAAGCCTTGACTCAAGCCCTAAGAATCAAGGACCCTCAAAGATGAAGGTTTTGAGGGTCCAAACCCCTGCTATGCAGGGTCCAAACCCTCCATAGGAGGGTCCAATGATTCTTAGGAAGGGATGAACTTCAAGAGCTCAAGGTGTGTTGGCACCCCCAATTGACTCGGCTTCCGACCCTCGGTTCTGCAGCGTGTTGGCACCCCCCCTCTTGCGCTCTGCGCCCAGCCGGTTCACCCGAAATCCGCTGACTTGACGAGACCGTCGGACCATCTGAGGATGGAATTCCAAGACTAGGCTTAAAATCCGACCTCGAAGTTGGTAGAAAGCTGGGGGCTGGGCATGTTCAGAGTTGTTGGAAGCCGATTCAGCTTTCTACCAGTTTGATGTGGGCCTTTACCAGCCGTTCACCTGAAGCAAGTTCAGCGAAACGACGAAATCAACGAAGACTCGACGAAAAAAACGACCTTTGACTCGCAGCCCCGACCTTTGAGTTGTGACCAGGACCAGTATCGACAAGCTAAAAAAATTAGAAGTTACCTTTTCTTAGCTGAGCGATTCATACCCCCGAATCATACCCCTCATAAAGTATAGGTGTAAGAACACTACCTGGACCCTCCTGTCGGGGTGCCCTGTTTGGAAGCCATCCTAGGTAGTGTGGGGTAGTCCAGCCAGGACACCCCGACAGGAGGGTCCTGGTACAGCGTTTCTTCTGATCTGCAAGACCTGCACGACTTGCACCAGGATCGATGAAGCCTTGAAGACGGCCGCTGAGGCAGTAGCGGCAGTGCTCGGTTTTCGCCGCGGCCGGAGTCGCGGGCTGCGTGTGAGCTGTGTTCCTTGGAAAGCAGATCGAAAGTGAGCCGTTTCGGTGTGTCCTAGTGACCTAGCGTGACTTATCGTGAAGTGACAAATGTCCCGCAAAAAGAATAGAAAACACAAGAAACACACCTACTTGGACATGTTGGAGAGTTCAGCTACGGGGTGTGGGCTTCGCTTTGACTCGATTTGACATTGTTTTGAAGCCGAGCGATGCACGCGTTTGTCGGCTCGGCACGGCGAGGGTTTGTTCGCCCAGCATCTACACATATATCTACACCCTAAGAATCAAGGACCCTCAAAGGTGAAGGTTGTGAGGGTCCAAACCCCTGCTATGCAGGGTCCAAAGCCCTCCATAGGAGGGTCCAATGATTCTATAGGGCAATATCTATACACTGGTGTTTAGTCCCATCCAGTGAGTGGATGTTCTGGGCACCCTTAACCTCCATGGATAACACCCAGTCTTGTTACTGCTGGTTTGATGGGCTATGGATTTGATGGGCCCCCATGCCACAGGGTTTGCCTCACAGTCGCCCTTCCCAGTCGCCCAAGTTACATGCGGCAGGCTTGGCCCCTTGGGCCGCGCGAGCCGCGCGATCGCCGCGCGAGATCTCGCGGCAGCCGCGCAGGCGATGGAGATCGCAGAGGCTGCTGGTGCCGAGCGGGAAAAGGCCAACGTCATGTGCCTCGAGGCCATCGGACCGAAGGATCAAAGAGCACCGCGTGCCACCGGGCACGGCCACTCGATCGGACGGGACACGGGACACGGACGGGACACGGCCATGATGTGTTTGGACTCTTCGTCGTGTCCTTTTTCACCGCTTCACCGGGGACCGAGGTAACTCGGACAGAACACGAAGATGCTGGGTTGTGGTGCAGTTTGCTTGGTTGTGGTGGTATGTTGTGGTAGTATGTTGTGGTGGTGGTGGTGGTGCTGCTGCTGTTGGTGGTGATGGTTTTCTGCACGTGATTTTTGGGACGTATGGATTTGAGTGTTTGTGGTGTTTGTCATCCACTGAACCGTTGGCATTCGTTGGCATGGAAGAATGTCGGATTCACATGTGTTTTTTCACGCAGACATGATTTGAGGAATCGAAGTCACAACTTAAAGGAAGTTCCTCTATCATTGAAAGTGACATACCATGAAATACCTCCGTAATTACCGGGAACACCATGTTGACAAGAAATTCTGGGATTGATGGTAAAATATGGCCAACATTGGCAAACACATGTGTATTTTTGTTGCAAATGCAAATTTTGCTAGTTATCTACTGTAATACTGGCTATTGTGGTTTCAATCATTTATGTTTCCGCTGTTAACTTTCGTTGGCTGGGATGATTAACAACCCCAAAGACTAGTTTTGCAAATGGATTGCAAGCAGGGCAGAGATATATAGTTTGGGTCTGTCCTATTACCTGTAATTAACAGTCAGTAAACGATTAGCAAGGCCTTTACCAACCGTCATCCTGTTACTGAGGATGGACATGGATAGACCATGATAGACCCAAAGTATTTAACTTTATGTCGTGGGTAATTCTTGTGGCCTCTCACTCGATAATCCACCTCCGCTGATGGCCAGGCTGATATCCACTTCACGAACGGCAACGCTAATAAGGCGTTAGTCTTAGTGAACAAGGCGCAGAAGCTGGGGAGATGTGGACGGATCACATCTAGGATTGTGGGGGGGTGGTTCTTGATGGGGACACAGACACCTTCCATTGATATAGGTCATTCCTGGGTAATGTAGACTCTTGAGGACCATAACCCCTTCAATTTGAATTGGAACTGCTGCTTCCAGTCATTTTCCCCTCCACCTGAACTCCGCCTGTTTCGCTCCACAGGCCTTAGCGATCTTCCAGGAGTACCGCGACAGCCGCGGAGAGTGGATCGCGCCCCTCGGCGCCACTGACGCGTGACGCGTGCGGTGGAGGACGTGGTGCATTCAGTGGCGAACAGAGAGAGCAGAAGAGGACAGAACATGGCCACTGATGTGGTCATGTCTTTCAAGCTAAATCTGAGTGGAATTCAAGACTTCCGTTCCACTCACTCTTTAGTTTCACTGAACCTCAGAACTTCATGACCCCCCCAAGCTTCATTGATTTTGTTTCGCCGAGGATGAACATCCTGGAGCAGATCACCGGCCCGCCGGAGGACGGGAATCACTTCGTCCGTCCAGTCGGAAGGAACGGGGTGAGAGGACCGGGACCTCCTGGCCTGAAGGGGTGGTATGGTTGACTGGTCGGCCCGAAGGGGTGGCATTTCGAAGAAACATCGGAGTTTGGGGATGCTTTGGGGTCGTTTAAATAAAGGGGTTTAAGGATGGTTGAATGAAGGGACAATTGAACATCTACCGGAAACCCGGGTGTGAAAACACCAAAAAGACATGTCATGTTTTTGAAGGTTGACAGGGCACTGGAGTCATTCTTGATGACTGTTACCTTCTGATTTTCAACAATTCAAGAACCAGGCTGGTGAGGCCAGGCTTTTCCACACGACCCAGTGTTCGCTTGCTCTGGTCAGCACTGGGCCGTTGGGCCATCTAGAGTGAAGGAATGTTCGAACAATGGGGCGTGCCATCCCGTTGCCATAAAATTTCTACAATGCCGCCGCATGAATAAGATTTGCGCCCATGTCGACTGCATGGCTCACTGATGTGACTGGTGCCCGCTGGCCCGTCTGGTCAAATTCAATGAGTGCTGTTGAAGGTGCCGGCTGAGATACTCAACAGTCATTTTGGGATGGCGAGGTGATGCGACGAACTTGAGAAAATGGAGAAAAAGATGGTTTTGTCATGGTTTTGTCCAGTGTCTCCCTTACTTTTTTTCAGTGTGGTTTGTTTAGGTTTCGTCCGTTGTAGTAAGTCTACCTCGAGCTAGGTCGGCAGCTTCTTCACTTCATTTCTCCGCCTGTTTGTCCCGAAGCTGAGATACAGGACGATGAGTCAGCACTTGACACACATAGTTGCTCCCCCCCAAAAAAGGGTGTTGGAGATTCAAGAATGACACCGGAAACGAAAGGGACTGTGTTGTTTTGGATGCAGGGTCTACTGCTTTGGCTGTTTGGTTGACCAAGTCTTGCGTGCTTCAGCTGCAATGCCGGCCTTCCATTTGCGCAAGACGAAGGGTGATGGAACCATCTCAAATTCTTTGCTGATGAAACCTTGGTACTGAACAAAAACGAGGTTTAAGGAGGAAATAGCAAGGACTAAACACATCATGCAATGTTTGTGTTGTATTTCATGTTTATTGATTATTCTTCTTGTTCTGTTTCTCGTGTTTCTTTGTTTTGCTGCTTCTTGTTTGTTGTGTTATGTTTGTTTTTTTGACGGTGGCGCTTGATATGGGATATTTCGATCATCGATAATGTGATCGCATGTCTGCTTTTCCATCCTTTGGCTAAGACCTCCATCAGAAGGTACCAGGCAGGGGCGTGCAAAGCGTCCTCAATTGGTGTCGGCCACCACGATGAGGGTCTCGCTCGCATTGCAGCCAACTTGGAAGAATTGGCAGAAGATTCTTCTGAGAACAAAGTATGCAGTGATGATGCGGAAGGATGGGACATGTCTGTGTCCCGTGACGGGTTTTATCTCGTCATCGCAGCTTTGGCCCATGCCGCAACCATCAACGGCACGAAGGATGAGGCTTTTCTTTTCACTCATCATCTGTTCGCGTGGGCCATGATCTACACTGCGCAAATCATTGCAGTTGGAGGAGAACTCATTCAAATCAATATCTTTGGCCTTATGGCCTCAGGGATCTGGCCAACTGGGTTCTTGAACTCATTGACAAGGTCATCAGACAAAATGATTTGCGGGGCGAAGAGCGCAGCGTCTGGGGGCGACGACAATAATTGCTCTTACGAACCCAATCTTCGGGATTCCGGGGAACTTGGCTCCGGTGTGAGGGTCAAGTCGGTGAAGGACGCTGAGGGAAACGTTGTCAAGGAGAATGGTGTCCCCCTCAAGGCAAGGAGAATCTCTGGCCCTCAGGGACCCCATGAGACCACGTCCTTTGAACTCTCCAAGAAGAATGGAGCATGGGAGTACAAATTCTTGGGCTTCAATCGCTTGGTGGCTCGGCTGTTTGTCAAGTCCAACCCTGAGACTGCCACCAGCGAACTTCCTCCTGGGTCAGATAGTACGTTGTCTTACAGGTCTATTCTGAGGCAACCGGCGAACTCTTCTGATCTTGCCCTCTTGGAGGAAATTTACCGACGCAAGGGCTGGGACTGGTGTGGTTCCAGCACCCCTGGATATTTTTGCTCACTTGTTCTCTGGCCATCGTAGGTCGATGGACTATCAGGAGTGCCTTGAGCAATGCGGCATTCGAGCAATTTCAGTGGATATCATTTTTGATCTCCAATACGGTGATCTTTGCCGTGGGGAGAGCTTCGACCTTTTTCGTGCTGCTCTGGAGCAAAATGTCCTTCAAGGAGTTCTGGCTGGACCTCCTTGCGAGACGTGGAGCAAGGCGAGAGGTGTTGAACTGCAGGATGGGACCATCGGCTCATCGGCTCCCGGATTGTTCGATCTAATGTCCACCCATACGGACTGCCATGTCTTTCTCGAAAGGAGGGTGTACAGGTGGCCTTCGGCAGTCTGTTGCTTTCGGTGGCAATCCGCCTTCTGGTGGTTGCATTGGTGCATGGGAAGACGGGCATCCTCGAGCATCCTGCAGAGCTCGATACGGAACCGAATATGGTATCTATCTGGAAGACGCACATCATACGCACCTTACTTCGTTTTCCTCGCTGTCGCAAGCTTTTGGTTTTGCAAGGTTACTACGGTGCCAAATCCAAGAAGCCGACCAATTTGCTCTTGGTCAATGGCTCGGTTTTGCTGCGCGAGATCAACCTGTCTCCCAACTGGAGTGTCGATTGGCAAAGACGAGAACAACAAATCGAAGACAGGGGAGCTTAAGGCTTACACCCCTGCTTTCTGCTCGGCTTTCGCCAAAATTTCTGAAGCTAGTCAGCACAGCCCTAGCTCAGATGAGGCCGTTCCCTCCTGGTTCGAAGAGATTGTGGCCGAGATGACATCCGGCTTCGATCACCGGGCGACGATGGGGGATGATTTTGGGAACAGGTTTGATGCATGCCTAATTAATAATTGAATGCAAAGCGGTCACAGGCACTGCCGTTGGCTATCGCAAATGAAAAGGATGTTTGTTTTCCCCAAACAGTTTACTGTTAGGGGTTCTCAATTCTTTCTTAAGATGTGTCCGCCCTTTGTGTCACTGCTGGTGTCCGCCCTTTTCCGCTGGCCATGTAGCATTTCTATTCATTTGTCTCCCAGGTCTGTCGCTGCTGGGTCCGCCCTTTTCCGCTGGCCATCTAGCATTTCTATTCATTTGCAACATTTCTATTCACTTGTCTCCCAGGTCTGTCACTGGTGGTGTCCGCCCTTTTCCGCTGACCATGTAGCATGTCTATTCATTTGTCTCCCAGGTCTGTCCGCTGGCCATGTAGCATTTCTATGCATGTGTCTCCCAGTCTGTCGCTGCTGGTGTCCGCCCTTTTCCGCTGGCCATGAGCATTTCTATTCGTTTGTCTCCCAGGTCTGCCCTGCTGGTGTCCGCCCTTTTCTGCTGGCGTTGCAACATTTCTATTCATTTGTCTCCGAGGTGTGTCACTGCTGGTGTCCGCCCTTTTCCGCTGGCCATGTACCGTTTCTATGCATTTGTCTCCCAGGTCTGTTGCTGCTGGTGTCCGCCCTTTTCGGCTGGCCATGTAGCATGTCTATTCATGTGTTTTCCAGGTCTGTCACTGCTGGTGTCCGCCCTTTTTCTACTCATTTGTCTCCGAGGTGTGTCACTGCTGGTGTCAGCCCTTTTCCGCTGGCGATGCGACATTTCTTATCTTTCCCCACATAGTTTGCCGTTACGTAGGATTTCTCAATTCTTTCTTAAGATGTTTTTTTCCGAATGCGTAGCGAAGGGTTCCCGTTTATAGTTGGGGGTCTGGGGGTTGGAGCTGTGTTCGCGTGGCTTGCGTCGTGTCGTCGTCTCTCGTCGTCTGTCGTCGTCTGTCGTCGTCTCTCGTCGTCTGTCGTCGTCTCTCGTCGTCTCTCGTCGTCTCTCGTTGTCGTCGCGTCTCAAATTTGCTGCCATTGGGGGAAGCTTTTGCAAGTGACTTTGCATGGATGTGTCACGTGTCAGTTTGCGACGCTATTCCATTGTGATTTGCATGACAACGACATGTCGCGCAAGAAACGTGATGCACTTCGCTGCACAGGCGCAGCATTTTGTGAGATCCGCAGATTACGGCGCAGTTCCATTGGGATTAGCGCTTGGAGAGTCGTCTTTTTGGGGTGTTGGATGTGGCCGTGCCATTGGGATTTGCGTTTCAGGGTGTGGCATCGAAGCTCTGTTTTCGTGACAAGTCTCAGCTGAAATGGCGATTTTGATGGATGGGAGTGTGCTCTGAACGGGTCGAAATCATTCCAAACGTGTGGTGTGGTGCAAATTTTGTTGAAGCTCACATGCGATGATATTGTCACTTTTCGTGGCAGGCGCAGGACTTCGTGCGGGCTTTGAAGCGCGGAAGTGCAATTCTCGTGGCAGGCGCAGGGAATCGTGAGGTTGTGAGTTGTGGTAGAGGTGAATGTCGCTGTCCCATTGGGATTGGCGTGTGAGCGGATGTTGTTTGGAGGGGCTGGAATCGCGAAACTGCTTGGCAGGGCTGCGTGATGTGTGTGCTCCCATGGGTGTTTCCGCTTGACTTTTGGAGGAAGTCTCGTACGAAACGCTCGTTTTGCAGACTTTGACGCGTGAGTTTTTGAGGAAGTCTCGTACGAAACGCTCGTTTTGGAGACTTGACGCGCAACCCTCTGCGGAGATCGTGCGTGTCGAGTGCGCGAGATGCAGGCGAGAGTGCGATTTGTCCCATGCGCGCGCAACCCTCTGCGGAGATCGTGCGTGTTGAGTGCGCGAAATGCAGGCGAGTGTGCGATTTGTCCGGTGGAGCTGGAAGCTGAGAACTGGCGACCTTGTAGTACAACTGTAGTACGTGGAGTATCTGGGGAGCTGGAAGAGAGTCCCACAAGAGTGTCCCGCAACAGTGTCCCACTAGAGTGTCTCAAAAGAGTGTCCCTTAAGAGTGTCCTACAGGAGTATCCCACAAGAGTGTCCTCCAAGAGTGTCCCACAAGAGTGTCCCACAAGAGTGTCCCACAAGAGTGTCCTACAAGACTGTCCCACAAGAGTATCCTACAAGAGTGTCCCACAAGGAGTTCCACAAGAGTGTCCCACAGAGTGTCCATCCCACAAGAGTGTCCTACAAGAGTGTCCCACAAGAGTGTCCTAGAAGAGTGTCCTACAAGAGTGTCCCACAAGAGTTTCCTACAAGAGTGGCCCACAAGAGTGTCCTACAGAGTGTCCCGCAAGAGTGTCCTACAAGAGTGTCCTTTGGACATATTAGTTTTTCGATCGTGTTTGCATTCGGGTTCGTTTGTTCCATCTTGTTTCGTTTGTCTTTAAAGTGATTTCTTTACTTTTGTCTCTCAGGTTCGCTGCCTGCACTGCTGGTGTCCACCCTTTTCCGCCGGCCATGCAGCATTTCTATTCATTTGTTTCCAATGCGGTTTGTTTACTTGTGTTTTCCAGGTTCGGTGCCTGCACTGCTGGCATCCGCCCTCTTCCCCTCTCCAGCATTTCTATTCATATTTTCGTGCACAGAAAGGGTTTTGCAAAAACCTATTCTACTAACATCGTGGAAGGCGCGGGACATTCGTAGAACCCAAGGCTATTCGTGGACAGTTCGTGGAATGGTGGGCCAGTAGGAGAACTGACTGCAACGAAATCCCAGAAACCTTCGCAGAACTTCGTGGAAGGTATTTTGATGCACAAACTTCGTATAAGCGATTTTTGCTGACCCCCTTTTTCCACACACCCTCCATTTAGCCTTCATATTTGTCTCCCCGGTGATTTTCTGCACTTCCCCAAACAGGTTACTGTGCTGTTAGGGGTTCTTAATGCTTTCCAAAAGTGTCTGCCTTGCTGCCGCACAGCGTGTCCGCCTTCCGTCCGGCTTGTCTCCCTTGGTCTCCCTTCTTGTTGGTCACAGTGTCCCCCTTCTTGTTGGTCACTGTGTCCGCCTTGTCTCCCTTCATTCTTTCTTTGTCTCCGGTCTTGTCTCCCTTCTTGTGGGTCATTGTGTCCGTCTTGTCTCCCTTCTGTTTCCTTTTGTCTCCCTTGTTGTCTCCCTTCTTGTTGATCATTGTGTCCGTCTTGTCTCCCTTCTGTTATCTTTTGTTTTTGTCTCCCTCTTGTTGGTCATTGTCCGCCTCGTCCCCTCTGTCTCCCTTTGTCTCCGGTCTTGTCTCCCTTCTGTTTTCTTTTGTTTCCCTCCTTGTTGTCCGTGTTGTCTTCTTTCTGTTTCTTTTTGTCTCTGGTCTTGTCCCCCTTGTTGTTGGTCAATGTGTCCGTCTTGTCTCCCTTCTGTTTCCTTTTGTGTCCCTTCTTGTTGGTCATTGTGTCCGCCTTGTCTCCCTTCTTGTCTCCTTTGTCTCCAGTCTTGTCCCCCTTCTTGTTGGGCACTGTGTCCGTCCTGTCTCCCTTGTGTGTCCTTTTGTCTCCCTTCTTGTCTCCCTTGTTGTCCCCCTTCTTGTTGGTCATTGTGTCCGCCTTTTCTTCCTTCTTTCCTTTACATGTGTCATGTGCCTCCTCTCTCCCCCTCTCGCTTGCAACCCTTCACCCCAGCTGCTCTGCCCTGCAATCCTTTACATTTGTCTCCCTGTGTCTACATTTGTCTCCCAGCTCTGGACTGCTGTGTCCGCCTCTGCCTTGCAATCCTTTACATTTGTCTCCCAAGTGGAGTGGAGTGGAGTGGGGTGGAGTGGAGTGGAGTGGTGTGGTGTGGTGTGGAGGGGAGGGGAGGGGAGTGGAGTGGAGTGGAGTGGAGCCTTGCAATCCTTTGTCTCCCAGCTCTGGACGTTGCAAGCTCTAGTTGCAGAGTGTTCCGATTTTGAAAACGCAAACTGTTTGGGGTCTACGGTGGTGTAATTGGTCCAGTGTTTTAACCATAAGTAGTGTGGGGGATCACTGCGAAGATTCAGGAATGGGCTGTTTCCCCATGGAGCATCCGTGTCACTATATAGTCCACCGTTGGACTGTTGGACAAGCATGCGCATGGTATCGTGCTCGTCCACCCTGAGGAACCAGGCGCACCGATTGGGACAGAAACACGTGAGCTCTGTTGTTCGAGGGGTTGACATGTGTCGACCACTTGGCGTGTTCTTTGCAAGAGCTGTAGATCCAGCCTGCCCAGAGAAGGTCGTTTTGCTGCCAAGACTGCACTCTTCAGTTCCAAAAGGCACATCGCTTGCCATTTCCCCAAGTGACCACATCCAACATCGGCTCAAAATAGGTGCGAAACATTGAGCATATTGTGTGGTTTAACCGCATTTGTTGCACCTTCCCAAGTTCTTTGATGTTCTTTGTTCACGTTGTTCTGTGATAACGCCGCCTCCTGCGGCTTTCAAACGGCCACGCGCGATCGGAGGATCCTGCAGCCTTGCAGCAAGGGGACTGGACCGAGGAGCAGTGGGCTCAATGGAATGCCTGGTCACTGGGCCTGTGAATGGGGCCCCACCGATCGACCGGATGGGGCGGGTCTGGGGCGGGGAAGACGAGACGAGACCAGCGGTGGGGAGAGGGGGTGGCCGCCAGGGTGGGGTGCCGGCGCATCATGTCCGGGTTCGGCGGGAGTATCCAAAATGGGTAGGGTGTGATCCTTTTGGGAGGGGTTTATATATACCGGTATATAATATATGTATGGTGTTGAGTGAAAAGAGGTGCGAACATTGGTTCAAAAACAGTGCCCAATGAAGCAAAGAAAGGCCAAGAAGGTGCTAAAAACACGGTTGGAACACGCAACGTGGCCAACGTGTGCAGCCTTTGATTGACTAAGTGAGAAGAACACCCTATAGCCTATATCCTAAAGTTGGTGAGTATTGGAAGATGACAAGATCATTTCTTGACCTGGTAAGCAAAATGTCCTTATTAGGTTCATGTTTCCATAGTTGAGCTCTTTTTCTTGGTGAAGAGTCATCTCTAACTGGAAAGATATCCATTTCTTGTAAAGAAACACCTTCCGAATGACAGACCAACCTGGGTTTACCCAGTCCCAACCAGAAACAATTCAGTTGTTCCAGCGCCATAGATCCGAACGTGGACAGGGAAGCCAGGTCGACTGGGAACCTATCGGTCCAGGACAGCGCATGGTTGGAGACACCTGGATTGGTTACCATTCACTCTGCAAGACAGAGGCTTTGAAGGATACAACACGATTAGAACCAATGAATCGAACCAAGGACATGGTCTACCGGTCTTTGTAGCTATGCGTTTTCGCTTCCGCCTTTTCAATCAAGACTGCTGGAATCAATCAGGTCCAGATAAGTCCATGGTGTGTTTGATGTGTTTGTGATGTTCTTTTTGGTTTCCTTTCCTCCTCTTAATTTCCGGCCCCAGGGACTCCCACTCCCGAGTTGGATGCCCCAGCCATGAAAAAAATGCCGAGATTGGGAACTGTCAGTGAAGTTTCAAAGGTCATAGGTTTGTGGTGAGATTTGGATGAGATGAACTTCCATCATGTGCATCCACATCCTGATCACCCCGAAAACGCACGGTAATATAATGTAATATACGTAATTAGATGTTTTTTTGTGTTCAATCAAGCTCCAATGCAGGCATTTTCCAGGGGTAGAAGGGTTTGGAGTTGAGTCGTCCGTATTTGGGTCGAAATCACTTCGCATCGTTTCCTTAACCGCTTAGTTGTTCACAAAGCCTGCTTTTGTTTGGATCTCTTGCTAGTTGAATTAGTCCTGGAAGCCTTCATTGTGGACCAACCTGAAAGCTTCGGATTGGTCCCACACGGAGGTGCAGGGAGGTCCCTTTGCGACGCCCAGGCAACAACAGCAGGGCCAGCAGGGCGGCAGCCAGGTACCTCAAGCCATTCAAAGAGCCACGGAGGCCCTGGGGACGCCCTGGACGCGTAGACTGCGCGCGCGACTGGGAGGCGTTACGTGGTTGCGACGAGACTTACGTGTTTTCTGCAGAATATGTGGAGATGCAAATGTTAGCAACCAACAGAAAGTGAAGGAATATGTGGGAAGCAACCAACAGATGGTATTTGCAGAAAGTGAAGATCTTTGTCACCCCAAACATCCCGAAACGACTGGGTGGGAAGTCATGTGTCTTCCCCACCGAAAGAAGTCCCTCTGACCTAACAAGGGACGCTACTAGGAACAAAGGGCATTGCTACGCACGGAGCAAGAAGCTACAAAAGTAGCTCCCGGCATTATTACTACTAGGAGCAAAGATACAGTAGCTACTACCATGGGCACCACCCCTGGTGCAAAACAAAGGTTTTTTGTTAAAAACCTGGTTTTATACATTACAACCCTCTTTTTGAGAGGGGGATATCAAAAAACAGGTTTTTGAGACTTCAGGATTTTGTGCTGCTGAAAGCAAACATGAATTGTAGCGGCTGATCAATTGGACACGTGCCTTTCACCCTGCAACTGCAGAACTAGTTTCCGCGTCGACGGCTAGCTAAGTCTAGCTAGGTCTGAGGGAACAAATATGTGTACTTACTTATTTGTGACTTAGCTTGGACTTAGCTAAGGTAGATTTAGCTTGGATTTAGATTAGACTTTGGCTCAACTGAGCTTGGCTTCCTAAGGCCTAGCCACTAGCCAAGCACACCTTAAGTCTAAGCTAACTCCGAGAAGAGTCTTCCGACAGCTCTTGTTGCTAAATGTTGAAGGGGAAAAGTGCAACAAACTTATTTGACTGTACTTGTCACTTCGTGTAAAGGCAATGCGTGTCAGAAAACTGTCTGGCAGGGTTCCCCCTGCACTTCAGGCTTAAACGGAATATGTGTCATTGTGAAAACCGTGTTTCCATCAACATTTTCTAGGACTTAGATTGGAATTACTTTGGACTTAGTTTGGACTCGGACTTAGGTCGGGCATAGGTTGGATGTACCAAGTCCAAGCCAAGTAAGTCCAAGTCAGCCGGATGTGAAATAACTTTGAATCAGCTAAGTCAGTCAGGCCTAAGCAGTTACTATCCAGAGTTAGCTAAGTCAAAGCTAAATCAAACCTAATCTGTGTAAAGGTTAAGTGACTTAAAACAAGGATTACTAGTAGGTTAGCAGGTTTATAACCTATATTACATATGGGTTGCAAGTAAAGTTGAGGATATACCCGGCAAGTAGGGATATTGGAGCAACAATGAAGTTGTTGACCAGACTTCTCCAGGAACGCATCGGCAATGAGGTGGAAATACAGGTCAGGTGGAATATGACAAATACCTCCGCTGGCATGTCAATTTCTGGATCGCGGATCTTGGAGGGGTCACCCAGTGCCAGAAGACTTGTGAGACCACAGGTTGGCGCTTGTGAGATTTGCAAGTCATGTTGCGGTAAGTTTTAGCACTGGAACAGGCCACAGGGTGGAAAACCGGGTTTTTACCCGTAGGCGGCCCGTAAAAAAATCCGTAGCCGTAGAAAACCCGTAAAAACCCCGTGGACAACCCATAAAAACCCGTAGGAAAATACGTAGTTTTACGTAGTTTTCCCGTAGTTTCCAACATCCTGGGATGTTGGGTTTTGAGTGGTTTTTGAATGCTCTTGGCCTGATCCGAGCGTTCCTGATCGCAGCCCAAAGGGATGCTTGCTGGGTCGAGGGCTAGCTAAGTCTATAGCTAAGTCCAAGGTAGACATATTAAAAGTTTTAGTACGAGTAGTGACTTAGCTTGGACTTTGCTAAGGTAGACGTAGCTTGGATTTGGAATAAATCAATTAGGCTGAACTTAGGTTGGGTTTCCCATTATATGTCGGTCCGAGCCAAGTCTCAATCTTGGTCTAAGCGAAGCCTAAGCCAAGTCCCACCTGAGTCTATTGAAAGTTCTTCCAAATCTTACTGGGGAATATGTGTCAGAAAATTGTCTGACAGTTCTTCCCTGTACTTCAGGCTTAAGAGGAATATGTGGCATTGTCAAAAACTTTTCTGACAGATTGGCTATAGGACTTAGCTTAGACTTACTTTGGACTCGGCTTGGACTTAGGTCAGGCAAGGGTTGGACTCACTAAGTCCAAGCTAAGTCCAAGTTAGCCTTATGGTGACTTCACTTTGATGTAGCCAAGTCAGACCTAAGCACTCACTATAACCTCCATTTTAGAGTTATACAACCATTTCCAAGCTGAATCACTTCGAACCTTTACCAAGGTTAAGTGACTAACACCAGAGTGACTAGTAATCTACTGTTGCATTACGGACTTATCACCTTTAGGTTATAAGTTCAAGTTAGCCATATGATATTCCCGGATATTTCCGGCATTTGATCAAAGCCTTAATGAAGACCCTTAAAAGGTTGTGATGATTCCCGTGCTGTGTTCGCATGAGCAGTTAGCCACTTCCAATAACTACAGCTACACCGTTTGTTTCCTCCAGCGAATCAATGATGTGTTTGAATACCAAGTATGTACATGAATCAAGCTGTGACTGTTGTTTTCTGTGCGGATGATGTGTGGAACGGTGTTGGGAACCAAGGTCTCCTACATCCATGTAAAAAACTACAACGGAAATCATTGTCCTAAAACCGGGTTTTTCAATCCACAACCGTAAAAAAACAGGTCGTAAGATATAACCTTCCTGTTTCATGGTTTTGAGGGCTCATGGTAGTAACTAGAAGCAAGACAGCAGTCACCGTCACCAGTGACCGGCCGGCCGTGAGCAACACGGCCGCGTCAGGAGCCCCGCGCGCGTCGGCGCACCGATCCGGGCGAGAAGCCGGGGCCTAGAGGGACCCCAGGGGGACGAAGAGGACCTGAAAAGCGAGTAGTTGGAGGGCTTCGATCCTGAAAGGAGCTCCTTTTTGTGACACCTTGGTCACCTTGATGACAGGAAACCCCATTTGGCCATGCTGGGGCCAATTGCTTGGGTTCATTTGGGTCCGTGATGCTTCCGATTCCCAAGTTGGGGACCCTTCAACCAACACATTGTTTTTTTGGGGAGCTGTGAGGCACCAGGCGTGAGGCGTGAGACAGTCGGAGGAGGATTCAGGTGCTAAGACAGTCGGTTGGAGACTTAGCAGATTAGTTTGGTCAACATGGTCACTTGGTGACTCTGGGTGGTGTTTCTTGGTGCTTCTTCTTTTTAAGCCATCTGAAGTGCGTTGACTTGGTGTAGCAACCATGTGCACAAGTACCAGCGGCCATGTGGCCAGTGACCGGAGAAAGCCTGGGATCCTGGGCGATCGGATGGCGCCAGACCATGGGATGTTAGAAGGTAATTACTTTCAAGCTAGTAACAAGTGCATCGCTTCTAGTAACAAGTGCCTTACTAGTCGTAACAATGTTCGCTATTAGTAACAAATTAAATTGATCGTTTTTCTTTTAGCTTCTTGTTACTACTAGTAAGGCACTTGTTACTAGAAGCGATGCACTTGTTCCTAGTAGCGAACCATGGGATGTTAGAAGGTCAATGGAGTGATACTCCTCTACCAGGACCCTCCTGGCGCTGTTTGGAGACCCGACCACAGGTGGTGTCACGAAACACCGGACTTGTCACGAAACACCTGGCCAGGAGGGTGCTGGTATATTCCTTTATTTTCACCCAGCACCAACCCACTCCAGTGGCGAACTTTGCCTACAAAACACCTAGATGAACAGACAAGTTTGGGTTGAATATGATCCAAATCACTGTAAGAGTCGGTGAACAGTGCTGTTTGGAGTCGGAGAATCAGGCTGCTACGTATCCCCCACTTAGGCCGACATAAACCCTGGAGGATGCCGGCGTTTCGACTCCTTCGAAAGCCTTGTTTTGGGGGCCCTGTTGATTTGGAGCCCTCTCTTGAGGCTAGAATTGGCGCATGTGAGTGCGGGATCCTGGCGGATGGAGGAACGGAACACGAGGGATTGGAATCCTCAGGTCAAAAAGAAAGGAAAGAGTTCCAAGAGACAGAGTATATATATATAAGTACGTATCAATTCGAGACACCTTCTTTTTACGGCAACTCTCTTTTTTCGGCCTAGATGGGGAAGCTGACCTATAGTAATTGAATCCAGAACCATATATGGAACCCTTTCTATTTGGTAGTAGCCATTAGGTTCTTTATTGCATTGGTGTCCATCGAACATTGGTGTGGCAGGACGCACCCTTGGTGTGCGTGGACAGGCAAAACACTTCGATCATAGACATGGCATCTCAGGTGAAACTCTCAACAAAATACTTCAACCCAACAGCAATGGCCCAATGGCCTCCATCTTAATAGCGATGGCCTCCACCCAAAAGCTCCACAGAAACCTGGATCAATGATCAACCACCGACTCAACGCGATGAGTTACTCCACTCCTTCCACGAAACATCAGCAGCTCCGACTCACTCCGGATCCGATACCGGACATCGGAAGGCCACCGGTGCCACCGGTGCGTTTCGCGACTGGAAGCCACGGTCGCGACCGCGCCGTACCCGTCACTGCGGTTCATCGGTTCGCGACTAGAAGCCACCAGGTTCCTATTCTGAGTGTCCCAGGGTATGTGGATGGTGCGTGGTTGCTCAAACACTATAGGTTGGAGGTGTTCTTCGTTTTCAGCTGCCTTCTTCGCAACAACGACCACCAACGCCCCGGATGGGGGAATGCAAAGGTCTCGAAAGCAACTGGAAAGAAGGTGCACCGACTTCAACCTGCGAACTGGAGATGAGGTTGAAGTTTCTGCGAGCAGTTCATGGCTGCGATGACTCTTATGATACACCCCGTCTCAGACTCTTCAGACCTTAGGCTCGATAGAGCGGTGCGATCCACCGAGTCTGGAGTCCGGAGCGTGGGTGTACACCACCCCGGGTCGCATCGCAGTGAAGCAGAAAAGGCGCCGAAAAGGGCTGTGAGTGAGTCAGACTCAATCCATACCACACAGCACCTGAGGTGCCGTGCGTCAAGAGGCACGAAAGCATGACGACCGGTCGCTTTTTGGAACCGGAACCGTGTGCTTTGCATCAAGCGACAACTGTTGAAGAGTTCCTTCTACCGCCAGGGCCAGGTTTTGCTTTCGCTTCAACCTTTTTAGGTCACCATCATATTAGGAGAAGCCCACTGTGCTGACTAGGGAGATTAGGCTCCGCCTTTTCATCAAAAGCACGACTTTGCGCTGCCAGACCTCTCCCACCTACAAACACGTTGTTGAGGTGGTGTGGATCCATCAAACACAGAGCTTCCTTCAAATTCTATCCAAACATCATGGGCATGCATGGGCATTTTGTTTGTTCAAACATGTTGTTGTTGTTGTTGTTGTTGCCATTTTTCTCTATAAAAGGCTTCAACCCTCGGACAGACGGGCCAGACTTGGGGTTTGGATGCTGCACCCGCACGCCGCTGGGCCTCAGGCACCGACACCGTCCGCAAGAGGGTGGAAGAGATCGTGAGGCACGCGTTGGAGTCCCCGTTTCCTGGTCTACAGGCCTGCGTCAAGTGACCGAACCAACCAGAGGAGCAAGTTCGGTCACTTGGAAGAACCCCAAGAACCATAAAAGACTCAGACTCAGACGCTTTTCGTTCTCCTTTCTGTAGCCAGTCTCACCCCTTTTTTCCTTCCCGGCCGAAATCGCATCGCCCACGGCCTTTCGACCTGCTCCACACATCGGAGCGAGCGGCCAGACGGCGGCCAGACGGTTGAGGATCATTCGATACATCACGTGATGGCATGTTCTGTTGGCGTTCAGAGTTGTTTGCCTGTTCGTTCTGTTCTCTTCCAAGCACCGTGGGTCGGGGTTGGTTGGCCTTCAGCGACTTGGAACCCGACAGTCACTAGCCGACATGTAGCCGACAGGGGCGTCGTCTAGTCTATTGAATTTTGTCTCATGATACTGTAGAATCATAGCATCATAAACAACATCCAATTGACCGCAGCTTTGGGTGTGTTTTTCCTAGACCCCATTCAATAGTTTTTGTTTGCAGCAAACTGGAGTTGTCATTGTGGAAGAAGCTGCAAGAGACTTGGGGAACCACTTGCCCGCCCCAAGCAGCTTCTCTCCCTCCAGGTTTTGACCAATGACCAACGCCGGCGGAATCGGCCGGGCCGGTTCCCTCCTCCGTCACGCGAACCACGCGTGAAGGTTTACCGCTGACCTGGATGATAATGAGCCGATCGAATTGGATCAGCCTCTCATGCAGGCGAGACGAACCAGCACCGGTGGTGCAGTTGTGCCTGGTGCCTAGGAAACTCAACAAAAATGCCCTTGGAAGCACCAGAAGACTCCAACAGGTCTCCTCTGGAGGTGTTTCTTCATTGGACCATTTGGACCTCTTGTAGAGGTCTCAATATGGGTGATCTGTCAGTGCTGTCAGGTGTTGGGGTACTCCACAATACTCATTTGCTGGGCTGTGTAGATTAAAACATGGGCGATGTCTGACCAACATTGTACAACGTACCCAGCCGGAATCGAAGCAATATCACCATCTTCCTACAGGTCCAGTCTCACCCAGGTCCATTCTCCTGGTCAACCTCATTTGGAGTCGTGTATTTGTACTGATCTGCATGTAGCAAGTCATAGTCTCAACAAAAACGAGGTCAAACTGCACCTGTAGAGTCCTGTAGACCATGGCCTATATGGCCGGCGTTCGGAGGTCGGGGTCACCAGCCGGACGGCGGTGGGGCTGCGGAACATGCTCAGCGAAGAGGTGGGGCGAAGGGAAGGGGCTGCGGAGGAGGTGCTTAAGCACCTCCACAGACACTGGTGTTTAAGCTTATAGAGTGTGTAGTTTCTTTTTTTGGGGAAGTAAAGATTACAGCTCAATCATTCATTGTACCCAACAAGAGACATATATAATATATAACATAGTATAATATATTAGAATAATTCAATATAATATAATTAAGATATGATATAATATAATTCAATACAATATAATGTTACAATATATTATAGTATATATAATGATTTGCATGACGATTCGTGGTGAGAACCACAGACATGTCATACACATGGAACATGTTTTGTTTGGACAACGGTTCATTCATGGCATCAGTGGGACAGGACGGATTGTGCTGGCTACTGGTTGGATTGGATTTAGATTTAGTCTATTTTTTGACACTAGGGGTCCAGTTCCCCCCAAAAAAGACCACCTTGTGGACTTGCAAGTTGAACTGTTGTTCCTCCTTTGTTCGTCTTTGATCACTGGTTTTGCGAAAGAAACATGATCGGATCAACATAGCCCTGTGGTGTTTCATGCTCAATTTCATGTCAGCAGCATTGCCACAAACAACCAGAAGCAGCAACTCTTCATAACTGCCTGGCGCCAGCGGGGGCCTTGTCTCGACGCGCCGGCGTCCTCTGATGAACTGCTGCATAGATCGTAGCATTTGTCCAAAGGAGTTGATCGTCGTGTTACCCAGCAAAACCTTACCTCCTTGAGTATAGTGTTTTTGTATAACCAACTTCAGTAAAACGAGGTCATTGGCTCGTAGGGCACGCTCCCTGGAAGAAGCATGGTTACGTGGATGGAAAACGGCTTCGAGTTCGGAAGACTATGTTCAATCCGAAGACCAAGCAGGGTGTGGTGAACTCCATTTCCACCATGTAAGTTCGCAGAGTCGTCATCTATCTAAAATCCATTTTGGTGCACACCCGTTCTCACCATCTTGATGGAGACTAAGTGACTAAGCAACAGCGCCAAAAGGCCTGCTAGACACCATAGACCTTCGACGTTCGACGACGGAGTTCGAGGGTTCGATGGATCGGATCGTCGCCGAGCCGAAGACGATCCCGCCAGTTGCCTGGGGTGGACTTGCCCTTCACCCTCATCTTCGACTACCCTTCCGTGGCCTCGATCTCCGTCCCTTGCAGCGTGTGGAGCGAGTCCGCGAGTCCGCGCCGTGGTTTGCGGGGGGGGAAGTGTCCGGCTGAAGGCCTTCCAAATCGGACGCGTTATTTGTTTGGGGGGGGACCCAAGAACGGTGGTTGGGGCCGGAGAGGCTTTGTAGATCAAGCCAAGCAAAATTTGAAGACTCCCACCGAGAAAGGATACGCAGCTGCATAACTCTTTGGCAAATGACTCACATGAATCAGATGGTTGGGGTTGTTCTGTTCTTCTGCTGGTTTCTGCAACATGTTCCACAAAAGGCAGACCGAAGGTGTCTGAAGGTTTCGGATGGCAGGCATGTTGCAGTGAAACTCGTATCCGTATCGCCTACCTAACCAACTGAAGGATGCCTGCACCCAACGTCACCCAATGCCTGCATCCTCTCCCGCGCCTGAGGACCATGTCATGGCTCGGACCCTCAGAGCTCTCGGAGTCGAGCCCGTGTCGCCCTCGTGTCGCCCTCGATGGTCAGCAGCGAGGTGGAGCAGCCATGGACATCTACGGAACTGTCCTTCATTTCAGTCGAATTTCAGTCGAACATGCCACGTGTGTCCTGCTTTTGAGGGAGTGGGGACGTCCTGGCGCGTCCTGGTCGGTTACAAGAGGATCACTCGGTTTTGAGAAGGACCCTTACAAAAGAGACACATCACATCCATCCACTGTTACTGGTCATGCAAATACCCAAGATCAACTGGTTCAACTGACCAGACATCTTTCTGAAACCTCATGTGCGCACGATGTGTTTCTTTGCGAATTCGGTGTTCGGTGGTGTTGCTATCCGGTGTTCGGATGTCAGTGTGCCTCAGAGTGACCCCGCGACCTGGTCCGCCGTTCTGCGCGCATCACTACCTGAAGAAAGGCATCTTAATGACGATGTGACGATGCTCGAAGCGCGCGAAAGAACCTTCGTTCTTGAACGTGCTCCTTTATACGTGCAAAAACTCCATGCAAGGCAGTGGAGGGAGGACACTGTATATATAGCTGCGGCACAGGACAAAAGCTTAATATTCAACTGATAGGATGTTGACAAGTTTTTACAAGGAGGATAATGATGTTCTCAAGATAGTGAGTCTGGGCTTATTGACATGGTACATGTTCACCATCTTCTCCAACCATCTGGGCTTTTGCCTTCGGTTCACTGAGGATAGCCTGGGCGCTGTTGGTTGAGCGAGAAACTGCACTGCACTGCAGAACTCGGTGAATCTCACATAGTTTGATGTGAAGCTATCCACATGATAGTACCTGGTACTCACAGAATCTTCTAGTGGGTATGTCTCAAACATACCAAGAGGCCATTGACAAACCACGGGTGGTCCAGTGGTCATGTTACTCAAACAGATTGGCAGAGAGATGAATTGGAGATCATGATCCGAGTTTTGCTGCCCTTCAAGCGCCCTTGCAGTGCCTCTGCCTCTCGTAGTAGGGGAGTCTTCCAATCAACCAGCTGACGTTGGTTCAGCTCCCCGTCGACAGCGACACCAGCAAACAAGCGCACGCGACCGGTGAGGGCTTCGTTGGGATGTGTTGCCCTGCCACCCGATGGTCGCTGCTGACGATAGCAGATGGACCTATCCGGATATATGGGGAGACACCTGTTTTGGAAGGAGAGTCCCGGGCATCAAGGGGTGACAATCACATCACGTTCTTTGTTATAAGGTGATTTTGGTGTTTATACACTTACTTACCAACAGAGGTTGAAGGACCCTATAGACTATTCCAGTTCGGTACCCCAGGTGACGGGTCCTAGTTCAGGTCACTGGCTACCTCTCTTGGTACCGTGGGTGTTTTTGGATGAAGGAGAAATCCGTTCACGAATTCACTCCACTGGACCTTTGTGTATTTCGCGACAAGGCACTGGATCTGGGTGGCACCGTCGATGTTGGGGCGTGGCTGGTCAGGGTGTACACCCCAATGGTGGAGAGTGAAGAGTTGCTTCTGCTTAAGAGTTGGTTGTCGTTCTTCCGATCCAGGTTAATCCTTTGGGACAGATGTGTTGCCCAGGTTCCTCAAGCAACTCCAAGATGCTTCGGGATTCGGGCGGCTAAGTCACTGGTTGCGGGATAGCTCAAGGAGGATCCAATGAGGAAATGTTCCGCAGCCCGTCGCCGTTGGGGGATAGCCTCTGCCGGGTGAAACGTACGAGTCGCAGCATGTGAAGGTCAACTGAGATGAGGCCGTGACATCCAAAATCTGAGTAACACTCCCTGGAGTTGACACTCCGAATAGGTCTGATGGCCTGAAAGGAAGTCATTGTTAGACCTCTACTAGGATTGTTGTCTTAAAAGTGGATGAATGATGAATCGACCTCTTTGGATGTTCACCCCTTTGCTTCCTCATGTGATGAGTCCAGTCCGCAGTCGTTGACTCGCCACTCGAATTCGATCTGTGTTGGAGGTGCAACTGGAAGGCCCCAGATTTCCACGACGTTCCAACTGTCATGCCGAGACGGCTGACTGCTCCGCTGTTCCACGCTGTTCCACTGGGCTTCAGAGACAATTCAGTGCACTGTGGAGGTTGTGAGCTCACCGTGGAGATCGATTGACCAATTCAATGCCCAGACGTCCAGAAGCATTGTGAACTGCTACGAATGAGAAGCACTGTGAAGCACTACAGAATGGATCTTCATGCAGTGGAAGGAAGGTGGAATAATAGTAGTTCATTTGATGATGCTCTCTTGCTAGCTGCCAGCTATTGATGTTTTGGGTGTGTTTGGAGCTTTGACAGGGTTTGCGCGCAAAACCTGTGGAGAGAGATTGGAGCCACTGAAGAGTCCTCTTGTTTTTCTGCATAAAAAGACATCAACAAAAACACCATCCGCCAAACCTAGGCTGTGTCCAGGACCGAATTCATTCGCCATGGAGGGCCTCATGCGGCCTTTGGAGTCCCCGGACTCCTTGAACTTCGCACCTGTCAGCAAGGCAGACCGCCGCAGTCGTCGCGTTCGGGTGCCGTGAGAGAGGTTCGAGAGGTTCGAGAGGTTCGAGGTTTAGCACGTCGGGTAGAGGCGCCCCAAGTTGGGTGGTTGAAACATGGACCCCCCCCAACCAAGGCGGATTGTGAGTTGTTATCGCCAACTACCCAACCTCCGAACCACCCAACCATCCAGAATGGGTGACTAAGGCGGGCCCCCCCCCCCCATTTGTCTAAGTCATCTATCGAAGTTGGATTGTGAGTTGTGCCATCGAACCACTGAATCCACCGTAGCAGGGATGGGACGGGGAGGTGTTAGTCGGGGCGTGGGCGCTGGGGAAGTGGATTCACGTCCGTCCGAGACGGGTGCGTCGGAAGGACTCACACGACGTAAGGTCATCCGAGATGGAAACGAACTGCCTCTGAACAAAGGAAAGAACATCACGGGGCATGCCTGGAGAAGGAATGTACCAGTCAAACACTAGGCGAGGCTTGAACGATTATGGCCATATCTATGGCCCACGGCCACCAATAAAAATGGCGAGTTCCCTCACACTTCAATGCGGCTGAACCACGCATTTATCCATCCACCTTAGTTATCTTAGTTGGACCAAAAAAAGGCTTTGGTGTTGCCATGCAACCCTTCATGGCCGGGGGACCTGGTCAGGACCTGGTCAGCTGCGGGACCGGCGGGACTTCCGTGAACGACCCCGGGACAGTCAGTCCAGGAAGCTGGAGGAGCAAATCCCTTCGAAAAAAGAACAGGACAATCAGCTCGCCTGGTGATCCTGGTGACGAAGGTCGACTGCAACCATGAACTTGGACGACCAGGTCCTTTCAAAAGCCTTTAGGGCTCCGAGCAACTCCGTTTTGGTTTGCTGCTGGTTGAGGTTGGGTGGTTGTTTTGGGATGGTTTGACTACCGCTTCTGAGCTTCTGAGGATGTAGGCCAGGAGCCCAACCGGGAAATGAAGAACCAAATAAATCCCCATTTAACATCTCCCCCATATAGAATGAGTGATCTTGGGTACCTCAAATAGAAATCGATAATTATTGTATTTTACATGTCTATCCCAGACACTCCATGTATGCCACATTGGGGTGGTGCCAGGGGGGTCAACTGATCGGCATATATGGCAGTCCCATGGAGTGTCTGTGTATTCTAACGGGGATCCAGACACGTCATCCTTTCATGCATCTCGACGCCGGAAAGGGATCCCCACGGATGGGCCGGTCCGGTCGGGTGGAAAGCGTCGTGGCCCACCCCGTGACCGGACGCCAGACACTCTCATGGGACAGGAAAAAAACAGACTACCACTGAATGTTCAATTGACTATCCACTATTGATAACAGATAAAGATGCCAATTCCATGGAGTGGCGAAGAGAGGGTAGTGCCGTGGGGTACTTTTGAGACGGTGTGGAGCGGCGAAGCTTCGCTTGAGACGTGCAGGTTGCTCCGCTGGTGCAGAGTTATATTGCCCTGCCATCCGAGAAGCTCCTGGAGATGTATTCCCAGGACGCTGATGGAGTCGCTTCGCTCGTCTATCGTCGCTGAGAAGATGGCGTCGAAGATGGTGGCTGAAGACCGGGACGTTCGGTGAAAAATGACCAAAAACGACCGAGTCAGATCAAAAAGTGGCTTTGCGAACTGGTCAGGCGATATTTCTTCCGCAACCCAGAGACATCAGGTCTGACCAACCCAGACTATATAGTGATAAGTGATAACTATATTTAACCATCAGTTGGGTTAGCTTCTCAATAATACGCCAGTCCCATGGAGTGTTTGGGTAATGATTGGAAAGATCCACATGTTAGACATCACATGACATATACTATAGTAATCATTTGACATCTCTTACAGTTCTTACTTACATCATTTCACTGGGCCTGGCCTGGGTCGGGTGTTGGTTCCCGTAGGGCTGCTCAGGCTGCTTCTTCGTTCGCCCGAAGCGTCTGCGTCCGAGAGGGTATGAGAGGGTTCTCTCACCAGGAAACAGGCGATTAGACTTGACTTGGAGTATCCAGCTGTTCTAAAAGGGAGCCAGTTGGAGCCAGTCTTGGAGCATTGAACCACTTGTGTGCTCGTGGTCCCCAGCAGATAGTTTTGGAATGTTTTAGGGGGGATATGACTCTCCATGTATCTTGGCATATCTACATTGACCCCCGAAGCCACCCCAAAAAGCAAACGATCGACACATATCGAAACTATATATGCCATACATATCATACCCAGACACTCCATGTATGCCATATATGCCTACATTGACCCCCAAAACCACCCAATGTTGGCATATATGGCATACATGGAGTGTCTGGGATAGACATGTTGGCGTTATGTATCTATTTTGCGGCGCGGAACACGACGTCGGCAGACGGAACACGACGTCGGGGATTGGAGTCGGTGAGTCGGATGGAGTCGCAGCCGGTGAGGGAGTCGGAGGCCGTGAGGTCCTGGTGATCCGCGTCTGTTTCGTTTCAGACGTATCCATCCCCGAACCCGGTGGTAAGAGGGGTTGTGAATGAGTGGTGTGGCTGGTCTTGGAGGGAGGAATTGGATTCTTTTCACTTTTGCTTGGGACCGTTCCCAAAGTGAGTTCTTCATCGTGTTTTTTCAGAGCCCGAATTTCCAGGAGCACGTGGTGAAATTGGGGCAACTTCTGGTTGCACGTTTCTTCAATGATGCTTGCTTGCAAGCAGTTATTTGTCGACAAGTTTTGCATGATTTGTCGTGTGGAGTGGTGCTGATACAGCTGGCTCAGATCCAAGTGGTGGTCTGACCGGTTTTCTGGACAGCAAATTTGTTGGCTATGAACTGTTTTGAGCTTTGCCGATCATGTTAAAGCAGCTCAGCTAGCTTGCTCAGACAGATGTATAAACTTAGACATATACCTATACAGAATGAGTTGGAACCCCAAAGCAGTGGTCGGATGTGATTTTGATGTTCTAAAGTGGCTGTTGACTAAATATATAGTGCCAAACATTGCAACATGTTCATGCTTTCAATACCTTACAGCATTTGAGAACTGTCACCCACTCACTGTTTTCGTCCAACAAGAGACACCGACACGGCCCCGATGTCGGACCGATGCCCCGATCTTCTGTGTCCGTCGTTTAGAGAACATGAGGGTCGCGGCTTGGGACCTGGCGACCTGGAGGCGAAGACTTCCTTCGGCTCTCGCCAGATTCTTTTGACTCGGCCTCCAAGCTCCTTTTTGGATGGCCTCCAAGCTACAGATGGCCTCCCCACATTCTTCATCATTCTTCCACTCTTTGTTCTGCTCGGATTTGGGTCAAAGCCTATAGAGAAAGTCTAGGGTCGCGAAAGTTTGGGTCCGCGAGTCACAGATGATGCGGGTCGACCGGCTGGTCAACCGGCATCACGCTTTGAGGAATGCTTGCAGTTGCAGCGCGGCTTGAGCGACCTACAAAGCTCCTTGCAGTCCAGCGAGTAGCTGGGCTCCAAGGTCTATAGATGGGATGCAGAGCACCTATTGCAGAGCTGGGTTTGTTGGATCTCTTCGGAAAGATCCGTGAACTCACTTCCATCATTTTTTGAGCAAAACGCTCCAACTCAATCTTACTTTTGGGTCGGTGGAGGATGTGTTTCTCTGCTGAACTCACTGTTTCCATCCGGAGGCTCTTGGGGGGAGCCCCGACTTGTTTGATCGCTTTGGGGAGGGGTCCGTCTTCAGAAGGAGTCGGTAGAACAAGCTCCGCTGGACGTTGGTAGAACGAGATCCGAAATCTTTGGCAACGAAAACAGCGGTATTTAATGATAATTTTCAGTATTGCTTCCAGTGCAGTGACCCCAGGATTTCTAGACCAACATATGAAGACCCTTCAAACGTGGTTGTGAATCTCCATCCATATCATTCCATATCCATTTCAGGCCTCTATCGAATCAGAAACGCATTGCCATGGTTTGACCTGTTGGTGTCTCACACCTGAGGCAACGACGAGAGGCACGAAGAAGTGTGTGGCAGGGCAGTGGGACGGGCGACGGGCTTGGCCAGGGATTCCCTAAAGCACCTCTCCATTAGCCTACCAATCTCTAAGGACATGCCAGGTAGTGCCCAGAAGTCTAAGATGTGAGTTCCACTGTGCTCCACTATGGGATTTCACTGTTTGATTATAGGGATTCAGTCAGCACTTTCTTCAAAGCCGAAATGTGGCCATGCCACTGCACAGTGGCAGTGGCCAGACAGGTTCACAGTGATGGCCAGATTTGTGAAGATGAAGATGAAGATAAAGCCGAAACGGTAGACGCGGCGATGTTTCGCCCAATGTCGAGTGCATTTTGGGGACCCGGACACCACCAAGAACCGCTCTGACCAACTCACTCCCCCTGCGAATCCGATTTTGGACGGGGTCCATCGTCAGACGCCAGGCGTTTTCGGTCGTTCTTTCACGTGCGATCAAACGGCCTCCATCCTGGAACCTCCTGTTGGGCATGAAGTTCGAGAATGTGGGACAGTTCACCTTGATTCTTCACTTGAAAGAGACCAATTATGACAAATGACTTTAACAACAATTTCACTTTGAGAGTGGCTCCAATCAACGTGGGCGATCTCCAAAGGTGAAGACAGGAGATCAACGGCCATTCCGGGTCCATCGGAGGGGGGCTGCCGCCTGCCGCCTGCAGGAACTGGAACGAGGCTCGCTGGCTTCCCAGGCGTGTTGTGTGTCGCCTGGTGGCTGGAGCGGAAGTTGAGCCGTTAAAAGCCCAAATACAGGAGGATGTGATGTGTTTTAATAGAGTGATTGGACATGTCAAGACATTTCTTCTTTCTGCCGGAAGTGCTCTTGGACTCTTGGTTGTGTCATTGTAATTGGATGTTTCCTGATTGACAGAATGTTTACTGGATTCTGAAGGTTTCACCAAACCATACCAAACCTCACCAAATCAAAATCCTGGAATTGACACCTGGACTGGAGGTGGCTGAGGTGGCTTGAGTGGCGGCTCGTGGCGGCTCCCATTTGAAGCTTCTGGGAATTTGCTCTCTTTGAGCCGAGGTGACTCTTTTGAGCTGAGGTCTTTGGGTTTTAGCAAGTGAACAAAGACCCTTTATCCATGCCTGGTTGACCACGTGATAAAACTTACCCAACCCATTTTTCTGCATGGGTCTTTGAGATTCTTTGATTATCAATTGTTTATCCATACCACCCCAAGAGTCCAACGGCCAAGCACCTTCGAAGGACCTTCAAAGACCTCCTGTTGATTCCTTGGGACCATCCCTGCACCCAAGGGTTTGGATCCTTTTTTGTGCAGGAGACTAAGGGTTTGGCCATGGCCATGTCTTTTACTTTCAAATTGCAAACCAGAATACAAACACTAACGGTGGCTGGAATCCGATTCTTGGCCATCGCTTTTGGACTTTGCGGTCGATGATGATGATGATGATGATGATGATGATGATGATGATGATGATGATGTGCTCACCTCTGCGGGAGTCAAGGGAATTCTCCAAATCCAGTGCGAAAGTGGACTCGGAATTTCTCCGTCTCGCTGCGAGAGTGGAGGCCTCACCAGGGAGACCTCCACACCCGCGTCGTTCGTGATTGACCACTTGTTCTGCTCGAGACGGGGCAGCCGCTCCTGGTCAGTCCCTCTATGTCTCCTGCTCTCGTTTGCTCACCAGGCGAGCTTGCCCATGATGCCTGAGATCACCCTCCCTGGGCGGCGCGAGGCCGAGGCTGGGAGCTCGGCCTGGGCGAGGCGTCCAAGGTCTTGGGCGTCCGAGTGGAGAAGCTGCAGGTCACCTTTTGGGGTGCCCAAAAACACGCGACGCACACCTCAAATCCAACATGTTGGAAAGCTGTATGAGTTTAACGGCTCGGGGGTCAGATACACGGAATGAGTGAACCCCTAAGCGAAGTCAGAGGCAGACCTGGCTTGAGGCATGTTGGAGGAAATCCAATGGTGCTCAGGGTTGGTTAAACAAAAGGTCACTGTCAGATCCATTTGCTTTTGAGTGTTTTCCTGATCCATAGAAGGCAGAGTATATATTGGTTGGTGGATTAATCGAGGGGATACCCCCAGCCATGAGCACCCAATAAGTATGACAGATATAGATCCCTTACATCAACCCCTCTACTAATCCAAAAAGGACATCATTTGGACTGATCTCCATGAAACCCGACGCAAGTCTAAAGCTGAAACTCACAGCATCTCACAGCTCAGTGGATCAATCGGGTGGAAACTTACCGTGGATTTTTCTGCGTCAGGAGATGAGGATGGAGTGCGCGCATTGTTTGGAGACCTCGGAGAAGTTGAGGATTGCAGAGGAAAGACTACAGGAGATGCAGGAGAGATGCTGGTGGGTGTTGGTGGACTGGTGGGTTTCTTGCATGTTATCCAGAAACTGGATGATTGGGATTGTCCTTTGGGAAAAGGACGACGACCTTCGGAAACTCCGAAAAAGGAACAAATCAAAGGGTGAAGTTTCAGACATGCCATGAAATGCCTGAAGGTGAGGACGTTTCCTTACTGCCAAGAGCATCCAGATAGTGTACGAACGTGAATTTGACTACTGGATCAGTATCCTAACTGTATCTGAGACCAATGCGGAATCGCTTCTTTGCAGCACCGACAGACACTCAGAGACCTTCGGCAAAAAGAACTGCCAGGACATTTTCTGCATGACTCAAATCCTCTTAAATGTTTGTGACACTAAACCTCACATCTATGACTTCCCCCGCAACTACTGGAAACCTCGAGCGCTTCCGTCGCCGACAACAGGAGCGAGCGCTGCAGTACTCACCCAAGGCACAGGTTTCTTCGGGTAGCGTTTTGATTGAACGGGTTTCTAGCAGTTACTATGCTTTGGTTGAGAAGTGCGCCTGGCCCAGTGTGGGTCCCTTGGTTTCTTGGGGGTTGTTCTGTTCGTACCTGTAGGGAGGTCCAATTGAAGACAACATCCTGAACCAAAAAATATTCTAGGAATGGGCTGAATGTTTGAAACCTTGGTCTGTGAGCTAGTCCAATCTGTCGGAATCTGTGAGCCAGGTGCGCCAAGTGGAGAGATACATCGCCGGATTGGACGGCTCATGCAGTAGCATTTTTCAGAGACAACCCCATGGGTGGACAACATTGTCTTGATGCGAGGTGATCCTTTGTGGCTGCCGTTTTTGACCAACACTAAGGACTTGGTGTTGAAGAACAGGATTACAGAAGCCAAGGCAACGCCTCTCCCAACACCAAAGTTCAGGCAGTTCATGCCCAGTCCCAGCGATCAAGGAGTTGTTCTCTACGAAGATGTTTCCTGGCAGTGCAGAGTGCAGAGCCAGTGGTACGGCGAAAAGAAGCCAGAAGTCGACGACTTGGTGATGGAGACAGTGCGGCTGGCCTGGGCGCACAGGGCCCCGCTGCAAGCATCAGGATCGAGAATCCGCATCGGTGATGCGAATGGCATGAACCTCCAAGGGCTTCCAATAGAGAACTGCAGAGTATGTGTCGGAATGCACTTCCCAAGACGATCTTGGCGTGTCGGAATCGTGACGGTTTCATCGTTCAGGACATGTGTGTGTGACTTGATCAGTCTTCTCTTGTCGATGTGTGGAGGACATGTCATGATGATCAAAGATCGAGCGGAAGATGTGCAAGACCTACTGATGATTTTGTCCATCAACAGTATGGCTGATGTGCTGGTAAGCTGTGAGATCCTTTGCACTCGGTTAACTGAGCACGAAGGTTCTTAGAGAATCCACAAGCTGACTGAAGCTGAACCTATGGAGGGGTGTCGTGGATTACATCATATTCACGGGTGCACCTATGTGTGCTACATGCAGATTGCATGTGCAAGAGTTGTGCATGTCATTCCAGTGAAAGTAAATGCAGAGGAATCCCTGATGTGAAACCCAGTGGTGGACTGTTTAAACTACTTGCGTGTTGGTTCAAGCACAAACGGTGCCCTTCTTTGGCTGTTCCAGAAAGACGATATTTTGGGTGGTTGGTGGTCCAAAATGGAGGTCATTCAGGTTCTATAGTGGAGAGACCACACACACACATACCTCAAAACCAACATGTTGGAAAGTGCGTTATGGTTCACCGCTCAGGGGGTCAGATACACGGAATGAGTGAACCCCCAAGCAAAGTCAGAGGCAGACCTGGCTTGAGGCATGTTGGAGGAAATCCAATGGTGCTCAGGGTTGGCTAAACAAAAGGTCCCAGGTGCATCGAAGGGGTGTCCATTGGGCACCCCTTAGACCCCAAAGTCATTGGGCACCCCTTAAGAATCCAAGCTTTGGGAAGCTATGGGAAACCCTGTTAGGACCAGATGTCATGAAAGCCAGGTGGTGCGAGCGCGTCGAAGCGTTTTCTGAGGGCGATCCGCTGTGCCAACAGCCTGCCAGTGGGGCTCAGCGGGCGAGACGGATCACGAAGAAGGCAGGACAGTTGGCCACCAAACCACCAAATCTTCATGAATACACCACCTAAACTTGAATATATCCAACAAAGTTTGCCACAAACATCCAAACAGTTCACCGCAAACATACAACCTTAACAATAGTTCACCATCGATCAAACACGTGTTCATTTTTTCCTTTCACCTTCACCTCGGAGCCATGGTGAAAAGAAAGACTGTCACTGCTTCACCAACGGCGGTGAATCTTGTCAGCATCATTTGAGTTTGGATTGGTCGACCAGGGTTGATGGATTGCATGTGACGTGCTCTGAGGAAATTGGCCAGAGCGTTCTACAAAAGGGTGAACCCTCAATATGTTCACAAGAACGATGAGCTTCTTCCTGGTGGGGATATTCGCAAGAATGCGAACCAGTGGGTCAGAGCGGCTTTCTCGGACACGGGGCTGAAGGTGGTCCCCCGTGAAAATCGCATCAGGGAGGCGGTGGCCAAGCTGGTTCACAAGAAGAGATTTGGTCTTCAACTTAGTTGCCATGGCTTCAACATGGATTCAACATTCCCTCCAAATTTGGTTGGTATTGGTCCCTCATCACACTAAGGTGTAGAAAAGGATGAGGCGACCAAGACACAATGGATTGTGGAACAGGCCAGTCTCATTTGATTAAATAACTTTTCGTTTTGGTATTTGGGATTGTGGTGAGATGTTTTTTAAATCACCTCCAAATAAACATGCGAGGCCTATAGATGTCATTCGGTCTTGGTGGCGCACGCCAAATCCAACAGAAAGGGCAGATCTTTCTTATCCCCAGGGAGCAAAGGAATCCGAGTAAAGAGGGTGGAGCACCTTGGATCTATTGGATGTGTGCTAGTGGAACCCACTTTCAACACGATCATCTTGACCTTTGACCATCCGAGGACCAAATCGGTTGATGACATGGAAACTTTGCCGGTTGATTTGGATGCTCTATTCCCTCAATTTTCCTTTGGCTCATCCTCGACCCTTAGCTATTCTGAATTTTGGGTGCCTGAGTTGAGTTGTGGGGGTTTGCATCTCGGTCGTTGGATCGATTCAATTTGGCTGAGGATCGAAGACGATGGAGGTTCCAAAGAGGCCGCCACAGAGGTGCACATCTCTTGGGGTGGGAGATGTGTTCACAAACCATGTCACTAATTAAATGCACCCATATGGTTTGAAAACTTTGGGGATCAAGATCGGTGCCTTCAACAACATGGATTGAAATTGTAGGGGATCAAGATCGGTGCCTTCAGTAGTATGTTTTTAAAACATATTCCCAATTTATTTCAAAATAAGATACTATAGCCTATAGCGCTATATAGTCGACGTCGTTTTATTCATTTTGCTCACGGATCGTTCTTTGCATGTCGTCCCTAGTCGACGTCGCTTTCTTCATTTCGCTCACGGATCGTTCTTTGCACGTCGTCCCATATCCAATTCGCACTGTCCGACCAGGACCAAAGGAAGAAAGCAAAGAAAGAAGAGGAGATTGAAAAAGATGAGGAAATGGAGGCCTGGGATGATTGGGAATTCTAGGGTGAGACTTTTGGGTGGGACTGGATTTGGGATTTCCTTCTTGGGGTGTGATGGTTGGGACATGTTGGGACTGTCCGTTGTTCGTCGTTGCCACTCCGACAGGATCCCGAAGAAGAGAAGCAAAGAGAGGAGGAACGAGCAGAGGACGACAGAGATGAGGACATAGCAGAGGACGACGGAGCAGAGAGCTCAAAGGAGGAGGGCAGAGCAGAGGACGACCGAGCAGAGCAGAGGTCAGAGGAGGACAAAGCAGAGGTTGACCGAGCAGAGGATGAGATGTCA